TGTGGAGAAGTGCAGCTATAGTGAGGATTTGGTCAGGGCCAGCATGAGGGATAAAGTTGATCCTGCATCGGTGAGTGTAGCTATTAAGTTCAGTTTGAGCATCTTAGCAATATAATGTGGTGTATACAGCTGTCAACATTCTACAAGGAAAGAGCCACTTAATCAGTTATATAATCATTAACCAGATTACCCAGGATACCAGACTTAGATGAGCGATAACTCAGTTCTAGAATGCTGTCATTGATATAGAATCTAACAATTAAAATTCAGAATTGACTTTGTTTAGACATCCAGCCTGTATTGTAGTTTCATGACCAGAGACAAGTCTTCAAAGGCACAGTATTTATTTATTCGGAGTGGTGCATGATTTCACACAGTCTTGATTTATAGGATCCTTCCCACTATATGATTGATATGTCAACCGATAAAATCCCAAATTATCAATTAAAAGTTTATGGAAAAACTACACTTGTCCTCATGTGAAAATGACAGTTTATTAAATATTCTACAGCTGTAATATCAATCAAATCAAACTTCATTTTTATAGCACATTTCTTACAACAAATGCATTTCAAGGTGTTCAAAGTAATGCATTGAAAGGCATTTAAAACTTAACATCCTTTCTCTTGGCAGGTCTCTATACGCCTCTGTGGAGCCATGCAGCCTATTTTGGCGGTTCACAATATCGGCCGTACGGATGTGAAATCTGATTGGAGGAAGCCAGCCATGCCCAACCAGGTGCAGTCAGTGGAGGACCTGTACCCGGCCGAAGACTACAACCCTCTGTCCCGAGAGCCCACATAGGAGGATCTTCAGTGGCTAAGGAACCGTCTCCAGGGCAGGTTCAGTGGAATGGCATGTCTCCTTGAACTTGAGTCAGAACAACCGCTACCCAAGGGCACTTGGGGCATGCAGGCATCCTGGCTGGCATGACGCTGTCGGTGGAGCAGCAGGAGGCTATACGGCAGGCAAGAGTTAGACAGCGCACCAACCCCAACTGGCTCACCATGAGGAGAGGGAGGTTGACGGCCAGCAATTATGGAGCAGTGGTTAGGGCAAAGCATGTTACTCCATCGCTGCTAAAAAGGGTCCTCAGATCAGTCGTTGGATGGGGTGTTGTCTGTAAAGTGGGGCCCAGATAATGAAGAGGAGGACATCAAGGCATTCAAATGACTACAGGGATGGATGTGCAGGAGTCAGGGCTTTGGGTCACGGGGTCTGGGATCCTGGGTGCCTCACCGGATGGTCTGGTGGGCACCACAGCAGTGGTGGAGGTTGTGTCCCTATGGTGTAAGGGACCTTACCATTGAAGAGGCAGTGAAGTCAAAATATGTAATTATCAAGGAGGGAGGGTCTTACCGCCTCTGTGAAGACCATCCTTACTGGCACCAGGTCAAAGGTCAGCTCCACATCACTGGAAGGGACACCTGCTTCTTCGTTGTGTGAATCACCACCTCCATCACCATCCCCATCCAGCGTGACGACCTCTGACTGACTCATATTGCTCCTCTTGTCATTACCTGTTTTCAGGGAAGCCAATGGTCCAAAAATATTCCACATAGTTCATACACACACACTAGGCTCCCAGAATAGGTTATATTACATAGAAGTTTAGCTCAAAGCAGCCAACTAAAGTAATGTAGTTAACTTTATCATGGGCACAGTGGGAATTTATATCTGTGATGTTCAAATTATTTATTACCCTGTATCTTATTTGCTGAAGGCCCCAGTCATCCCTGCCTGTACCTGGCATTGTTGAAAAACAAGTGAATAATAAATAAAGATCATACACAAACAATAGGCTCCTATAATATGTTATATTACCTTCAGGTTTTGCTCAAAGCAGCCAACTAAGTTAAAGGTAAAAAAAAAAAAGAAACGGCCAACTAAAGTAATGTAGTTAACGTAAATTCTATCCCAAAGGCTGGTCTGAGTGCATCTCCTCAGTTTCATTCAGTTGTACAACACAATTCACATTGCATTGTATCATGGACACAGTGGGAATTTATATCTGTGATGTTTAAATGATGTCTTACCCCCAGAGTGAGAGAGAGAGAGTACATCACTTCCAGCAGATTTCCTTGTTGAGGGTGGCGTTGATGTTCCGCATGTCACGCCTCATGTCTAAAACATGGGGAAACGGGACATAAAGTTCATTTCTATGCATTTACAATTCTATGTTATACACAATATTGTATCATATTTGAGTTACTGACCTCTCCGTCCACAGGCTCGATCTGCTGTAGTCTCTACAACTGGACCCTTGCGCTCGGATCACACTGGCACAGGATGTCCATGCCCCAGATGGTCTGAGGGATGCACTCCTGTTGGACTGTAAAACAAAGAGACGTGGTCAGTGGTGGGTCTTTTTTCAAAGCTGTATCAACATCTTTATCTGGACAGAAAACACATTGTTTATCATAACACAAACCCACCTTGGACAATGTGACAAGTGGTCCCTCAACACCCAATCCTCACGCCTCATTGTTTGTTCTGGTTTCCCAATCAACAGTCTGGATCTTCCTCTTCTGCTATGGTGGATGAGCTTCCTTTTCTGGTAAATACAGGGCCATTTTTCTTTCCCACTGGAAAATGGCAGCTGCAGACCCGAGTGTGGTCACTGGGTTTCTGGTCCGCCGTCTGAAATACTTTATTTTTTTATTTTTTTTACGTTTAATAGCTAGCTAAGTTGATTACTAAAATGGTAACATCTATATTAAAATACCATAACCCACAGACTTGACTATAGTAACGGTAAAATAGACTGGGCTTTGGTCAATCTGCACATCTAAAATCCTACTATGTGGATGCGACATTTCTGCTGGAATGGAGGAATGATCTGGAATGCTCAACTAGATGATCAGGACAGTCTAGGGTACTATTTGCCAGGAAGAGGTGAAGTTTTGCGATGAGCTGTACGACCTTACTTAAGATTCAAATTCTCAAGAAGAAAGTTGAAACCCTGAGCCGTGAGGTCACTGAGGATGAAGAAATGTGGAGGTTTTTCCCACCCTGCGCCTTGAGTGATTATGTCAAAGCACAGGATGTGTAGTTCTGTATGATAGCCACATTAGCGGCTGTATAGTATTTCATTTTCGGGGGTGGAAACAGAGACCTTATATGAAGTAGTTCTAAAAATCCCCTATGGAAAAATGAATGGTGGAAAAACGATTGGAACCATTTCCGGGTTTTACCGCTAGGTTTTATGGGTATCATGACTCATACTGTGGCTAATTTCACATAGGTGTTCCTCGTCCAAGGTGAGCAGGATGATTATGAGATGGAGATACATTGGGATGCCACGGGGCCTTATGCAAAGTCCGGATAAGAGGAATATTGGGACAGGGACACAGAGAAGTGGATTTCTGAGGAGGAAGAAGAGGTCAAAGAGAATGAGGAAAGTAGAGGTTGGATTTGAATTTGAGGAAGATGGCGATAAAAATGGAGATGGAGTGTTGAAGAAGATTGGTGTCCAATGCAAACAGAGTGAGCCGTACGCCAGACCGAGTTCTGGAGGTGAAATGGAAGTGAATGAGGGAGAGTTAAGTGAGGTGGAAGGTGTGGTGAAGAGCTCAGAACCAGAGCCTGGCATCAATGGACATGATAAAGAAGAATCTGGTCCAGTAGGAATTGGGTGCAGTTGAATTAGTGAAGGTAACCTGTAGTGGACTTGTGATATTTGTTTGTGTTTCTTCTGACCAGAGGGAGCAGGCGCTCTGTGTCACGCAACTTGGGTCAAGATCAGTTTCTTGCTTTGCTCTTAGGAACAGCGCACCATTGAAAGGAGTGATTTCTGGGGTAGCCTTAAGTATGGAGGTGGAGCAATTGAAGTTGACGATTCCTGGTGTTTGTGATGCCCGATGTTTGGTGCGACGCAGATCCAGTGGTGAGTGTGGTGAAAGGAGTCACTGTCAGTCCTTTTGAGTTTTGAGTCAGTCTCTACCAGACAAAGTCATGTTAGGATATATCAGTTATCCTGTTAGAGCTTTTGTGCTGAATCCACTGCGCTGTTTCAGGTGCAACGTTTATGGGCATGTCACAGCAGTGTGTAGGAAGGAGATTCCAAGATGTGGGAAGTGTGCATGAGGGCATGGGATAGAGAATTGTGTAGTTTCGGTGGATAAAGTTGTGTGTGTCAACTGTACGGGTGCCCATGTTGCTGGGGTTCGGGAGTGTCCGGTGCGAGAGAGGCAGGTTGAGGTGGCTAGAGGCAGAGTAGTGCAGAAGGTGTCGTATGCTGAGGTAGTGAAGAAAATAGAGGGTGGGTCAAGGGTCATCTGTTTCTTTCTTGGTGTCTCTGAATATGTTAGTCGTGCCTGTGGTCCTCTGTAGCTCAATTGGTAGAGCATGGCGCTTGTAACGCCAGGGTAGTGGGTTTGATCCCCAGGACCACCCATACGTAAAAATTTATGCACACATGACTGTAAGTCGCTTTGGATAAAAGTGTCTGCTAAATGGCATATTATTATATTATATAGTAGTAGATCTGTGCCAGCGCAGAGGGATAGGCCAATGAGTTAAATATGCTTCAGTAAGGTTGGCTTCTTAGCGTTTATAGCAATGGTTATCAACTGTACCGCAGAAATGGAACGTAAATCACAGAAAATAGATGTTGTGGTGGCAGCTGCAGAGAAGTATTTGGGTATACGAGATTTGACTTCAGAAGAGTTACAGGGTGTGTTGAGTGGTGGTGTCCGGTCTTCCCAGGCCGTTGGCATGGTACAGGAGCAGATAGGGTTAAAGTAGTGAAATGGGGTAGTGGGTTTTTAATGATTGTAGGGTTAGTTTGAACGGTGTGTTATTATTATATATATTTTTTAAAGTTTTGTTTTGACTTCTCCCATTTTGTATTACAAAGTATAATGGATTTATACTATCGTCCAGTTGGGGGCGGTAATGCAACATATTTGATGCCAACCGAAGAAGAATAGGTGTTCCTCTTCGAAAGCAGCCTGAAACGAAGTTAGAACACTCCCACACATTTCTCCTCCGTTTCACAGCACGTCCACCACACCAGGAAGTCAGAGTCGGGTACGTACGCGCTCTATTTTTGTCTGTTGTTGAAGAACACATAATAGATAATTCAACCTCATAAACTGACATTTAGAAGTTAAGACTATCCAGAATGAGAAGGCAGTAGAATAAGACTGCTTGTCTGGACCTGTGACAGACGAAGTTGAACGCATTTGTCTCTTCAGTTTAAAACTTTCATGCACTGATCTTGCAAACAAAGATAGCCTATGCTGCGCAAAGAAAGTATCGAGTAGGCCTATAGTAGCTTTATTTGTTATATCACCCCCTATATGGAACCTCATCAGCCCTTGAATAGTTGCATACGAAACGTAAACATGTTACTTTGTGTCAGTTTGGATTGGAACGTTACAATGTTAGTCTGCACCTGCGCGTTCTTATGGAAGATGTGTCGACTGTCAAGCTTTGTACTTTTATGGCGCCTTCCTGTGTGGTAGTAGGGGTGGTAGTCTACACTGAAGCTTACCCTTCCACCTGTTAGACAAATACAATGATTAGTTTTTCCTGAGGATCATTTCAAGTCTAGACACCAGACGTCAAATCACTTACTCAAACGCGATAGCCTACAGTTGTCCACATCTGTAGTGTAGCCTACAGCAGGCCAGGCAACAATTCATTTGAGACTCATATTTACATTTACATTTTAGTCATTTAGCAGACGCTCTTATCCAGAGCGACTTACAGTTAGTGAGTGCATACATAATTTTATTTTTTTCATACTGGCCCCCCGTGGGAATCGAACCCACAACCCTGGCGTTGCAAACGCCATGCTCTACCAACTGAGCTACATCCCTGCCGGCCATTCCCTCCCCTACCCTGGACGACGCTGGGCCAATTGTGCGCCGGAATCTTCCCTATGTGCTCTGGCAGTAAACTAACATGAATATGGCATGGAATTACTAATATTTATGCAGATGTTTTCGTTTCGACAGCGTGGACCCAGATGTTACTAAAATGAAGAGGAAAAGCAAAGTACTGAATGATGAAAAATTCACCAAGAAACGTAGATTGGAAGCGGTTACAAAGGAAGAAGATGGCAGAGAGGATCATGGGACATTGTTTAACGACCACTCCACCTCTCCCTCGGTCAGTGCCTCGAATCAATTATCTGATCGATTGATTGATTTTTAATGGCTTACATTTTTCTTCTATTTTTGTTGTCCTTTTTTTTTTAGGGTTTGGGAGATATTGGAGTCATCGAAAGCATCACCATAAAGAATTTCATGTGTCACCATTTGCTTGGTCCATTCCAGTTTGGGCCCAATGTGAACTTCATTGTTGGCAACAATGGAAGTAAGAAAGATTTTTAAACTGATACTTTGTATTGGCTAAAGGACTCACCATAGACATGTTTTCGATGCCTTACCTTAACATTCTAACCCATCTCCAACAGTCATTATAACTGAATTTGAACACTGAATTGAATTTACAGTTTTCCCTGTCTATAATTTCCTGGGAGGGAAAATGGCTTAGTTGCTATTCATGAGTGGGACCTATTTCTGCTATGTTGTGCTTGGGATTTTCACCTGATTTTGTTTTGCAGGTGGGAAAAGTGCCATTCTGACTGCCCTAATAGTGGGCCTTGGTGGAAAGGCCACCATCACTAACAGAGGAGCATCTTTGAAGGGTTTTGTGAAAAATGGTGAAAGGTTAGTTATAGTACTTATAGTATATTGACTCCCATTCCATATCTCTTTGTTTTATGGACATTGTACATTTTCATTACCGCTGAGTTTGTAGATAGTTATTTTGAAGGTTCTACTTGTAATGATTGTGATATGGGCAATTCCAAGGTAACGGAATTACGCGGAGACTTTTCACTTTAAAATGTATGCCAAACAAAAAATACAATGATTTCAAAGTTTAACAAACCGTACAACTCTATGCACAATGACTGCTTTGAACAATTTAGAATGTAAAAATAAAAAAATGTGCAGATGCACAAAGTTTGGTAACAGAATTACGGTAAAATCTCCTTCAGTTTTTATTCTGTTATCAAACTTTGTATCTGCACAGTTCTTCCTGTAAATGTTTTTGTAAAAATGTATGTGGAAATTGTTTTAAAGTAGTTATTGTGCATAGAGTTCTATGGTTTGTTAAATTGAAATCAATGTTTTTTGTTTGGTATACATTTTAACGTGAAAGATCTGTAATTCCGTTTACATGGAATTGCCATATGTGGTTGTTATCTGCGTTAGTGTTTGTAAGTCGCTCTGAGCCTCTCCTAAATGTCAGAAATATATAAATGTAAAGAAGAGACCAATACAATGTCCATGTGGGTCAACTTGTTTCCAGCACAGCGGATGTTACAGTGAAACTGAGGAACAGAGGACCAGACGCGTACAAAGGGGATGTCTATGGAGAATGCATTTCTATTGAACAGAGGATATCTAGTGATGGTGTTCGGACGTGCAGGTTGAAGAGTAAATCAGGTAATAGTTTAAATCTTTCTGGCCGCCGGGTCTGTCTGGCCGCCGGGTCTGTCTGGCCGCCGGGTCTGTCTGGCCGCCGGGTCTGTCTGGCCGCCGGGTCTGTCTGGCCGCCGGGTCTGTCTGGCCGCCGGGTCTGTCTGGCCGCCGGGTCTGTCTGGCCGTCGGGTCTTATCTGACTATTCTCTTTATCTCTTCTCTATTTTTAATTGACCTTTACCCTCTATTCCAGGGCACTTGGTTTCAAATAAAAAGGATGAATTGACTGCAATTTTAGATCACTTCAACATTCAGGTATTGTGTGTGTTAAATTGAAAGTGAATGATGTTATTTATTTGTAATAATGTCCATACTTTAAAAGCCTATTTTTACTGTTTACTGTAAATCACAGGTGGATAACCCAGTCTCAATTCTTAACCAAGAAATGAGTAAGCAATTTCTCCATTCAAAAAGCGAAGCAGATAAGTATAAGGTACAGTTGTAATTTAAGCTCTTTGTCCTTGTCTTGTCTACGTGTTGGTGGTGCTTGTTTTTTCATCCATTTTTATCCTTTATGCAATTCTAATTCTGTGTGTACTTCATAATGCGCAACCAAAGTTCCTTCTGGGGAAAATTTATATAATTCTATTCTATTTCTGTAGTTCTTCATGAAAGCGACTCTACTGGATCAGATGAAGAGAGACTACATCCACATCAAGCAGACTAAAGCAGTTACCAGAGAACAGGTTGAGAGGCAAGAGGAGGTAATGCTATCCCATGGAAATTATATTTTATGGGGGCCCAAAAATAAATGTACAACATTTTTAAAGTGCATTTCATACATGGTCACACATACACTTAACGAAAAAGTATATTATTTTTAAATCAGATAAAAAAGGATAACAATGTGACACTACATATGTACAGGTTTGTTAAAGGTTTTCAATTTAAATTACACTGAACAAAAATATGAACGCAACAATTTAAAATATTTTAATGTGTTACAGTTCATATAAGGAAATCAGTCAATTGAAATAATAAATTAGGCCCTAATCTATGGATTTCACATGAGTGGGAATACAGATATGCATCTGTTGGTCACAGATACCTTAAAAAAAAAAAGTAGGGGTGTGGATCAGAAACCAGTCAGTATCTGGTGTGACCACCATTTGCCTCATGCAGCGGGACACATTTCCTTCGCATAGAGTTGATCAGGCTGTTGATTGTGGCCTGTGGAATGTGGTCCCACTCCTTCAATGGCTGTGCTAAGTTGATGTTTATTGGTGGGAACTGAAACACGCTGTCGTACATGTCGATTCAGAGCATCCCAAACATGCTCAATGGGTGACATGTCTGGTGAGTATGCAGGCCATGGAAGAACTGGGACATCTTCAGCTTCCACTAGTTGTGTACAGATCCTTGTGACTTGGGGCCATGCATTATCATGCTGAAACATGAGGTGATGGCGGCGGATGAATGGCACGACAATGGGCCTCAGGATCTCGTCACGATATCTCTGTGCATTCAAATTGCCATCATAAAAATGCAATTGTGTAGATTGTCTGCCCATACCATAACGCCACCACCACCATGGGGCACTTTGTTCACAATGTTAAATTCAGCAAACCGCTCACTCAAACAACGCCATACACGCTGTTTGCCATCTGCCTGGTACAGTTGAAACCGGGATTCATCCGTGAAGAGCACACTTCTCCAGTGTGCCAGTGGCCATCGAAGGTGAGCATTTGCCGACGCCGCACTGCCGTCAGGTCAAGACCCTTGTGAGGTCGACGAGCACGCAGATGCGCTTCCCTGAGACGGTTTCTGACAGAAGTGTGCAGAAATTATTCGGTTGTGCTAACCCACAGTCTCATCAACTGGCCAGGTGGCTGGTCTCAGACGATCCCGCAGGTGAAGAAGCCGGATGTGGAGGTCCTGGGCTGGCGTGGTTACACGTGGTCTACGGTTGTGAGGCCGGTTGGACGTATTGCCAAATTCTCAAAAATGAAGTTGGAGGCCGCTTATGGTAGAGAAATGAACATCCAATTCTCTGGTAACAGCTCTGGTGGACATTCCTGCAATCAGCATACCAATTCCACGCTCCCTCAAAACATGAGACATCTGTGGCATTGTTGTGTGACAAAACGTAACATTTTAGAGTGGCCTTTTATTGTCCCTAGCACAAGGTGCACCTGTGTAATGATTTTTGTGGAAATTCTTACACAGGGACACTCGAAATCAATCTTAAATTAATCATAATTTATTTGTCAGCGTGCTGGAGAGGTTCCAACCAACTCAATACACCATAGTACACGTCTGTCAGAAGCTCCCTGGGGCCGTCCCAGCAGTTGTCTTATATACGGCTATACACAGACATGTTATATTTGCATGATTTTGCATAGTTAATTAATCATTACAGTTTTGTTTCATCCATGTGGCTGACCAATACTGGTTTATAATATGTGACATACCAATACCTCACGAGGCTTCTTCTCTCTATGCTGAGACCTTAAAACTGAGAGATATTTCTCCCCATGTTCTCAAAACAAGGTCTGGGCGTACTGCCAAATTGCAGATACTGATAAGTGAGGATTCGTCCGATCAGTCACTTGCATGAACACAGACATTGGTTATTAGAACAGCACATGAATAGAATAAAGAAATGTATAGAATAGAAAAGCACCAACATTAACATTTCCATCACATGATCATGCTGTTTTTAATCAGCTTCTTGATATGCTGCACCTTTCAGGTGGATGGATTATCTTGGCAAAGGAGAAATGCTCCCTAACAGGGATGTTAGGGAGCATTTTAGAGAAATAAGCTTTCTGGGCATATGGAAAATGTCTGGGATCTTTTATTTCAGCTCATGAAGCATGGCACCAACACTTTACGTGTTGCATTTATGTTTTTGTTTAGTATATAAATAGGACAGGAAGTTAGGCTCTAACCATGTTTTATCATTTGCTTTCAGTGTCTAAAGGATCTCAAGCAGGAGTTTTTGCAGAAGAAGGAGAGGTATGAAAACCTGTCATCTGTTGGTGAGATGAAGGAGACTCTGGAGGATCTCAAGAAGATGATGGCATGGTGCTTGGTAGGACTTTCCTTGGTTGTTGCTCATGGTTGGTGATTCACCATTTTTTTTGTTTAGTTTGGGCAAAGTCAAAGCCATTAAAAGGTGTTGGAAATTCTTAGAAAAACTGCATAGTTTAGGTCACGTCACCTCTGTTTTATTACTTTCAGGTGAGAGAAAAGGAGAGGTTGGTCCAACAGCTACAGGAACAGATAGACGCAGAGGAAAGTAATCACAAACATGAAGAAAACCTTCAACTCTGTCAGGTATTTGTGAAGTATATTTGTACAAGTACACTACATGACCAAAAATATGTGGACACCTGCTCGTCAAACATCTCATTCCAAAATCATGTGCATTAATATGGAGTTGGTCCCCCCCTTTTGCTGCTATAACAGCCTCCACTCTTCTGAGAAGGCTTTCCACTAGATGTCGGAACATTGCTGCGGGGACTTGCTTCCATTCAGCCAGAGCATTAGTGAGGTCGGGCACTGATGTCGGGCGATTAGGCCTGGCTCGCAGGCGTTACAATTCATCCCAAAGGCGTTCACTGTGGTTGAGGTCAGGGCTCTGTGCAGGCCAGTCAAGTTCTTCCACACCGATCTCGACAAGCCATTTCTGTATGGACCTCGCTTTGTGCAGTGGGGCATTGTCATGCTGAAACAGGAAAGGGCCTTCCCCAAACTATTGCCACAAAGTTTGAAGCACAGAATCGTCTAGAATGTAATTGTATTCTGTAGCATTAAAGATTTCCCTTCACTGGAACCAAGGGGCCTAGCCCCTAACCAAAGCTTTACAGTTGGCACTATGCATTGGGGTAGGTAGCGTTCTCCTGGCATGCGCCAAACCCAGATTTGTCAGTCGGACTGCCAGATGGTGAAGCATGATTCATCACTCCAGAGAACGCGTTTCCACTGCTCCAGAGTCGAATGACGGCGAGATTTACACCACTCCAGCCGACGCTTAGCATTGTGCATCGTGATCTTAGGCTTGTGTGCGGAAGCTCGGCCATGGAAACCCGTTTCATGAAGCTCCCGACGAACAGTTATTGTGCTGACGTTGCTTCCAGAGGCAGTTTGGAACTCTTTAGTGAGTGTTGCAACCGAGGACAAATGATTTTTATCAAATAAAATAAAATTTTATTGGTCACATACACATATTTAGCAGATGTTATTGCGGGTGTAGCGAAATGCTTGTTCCTAGCTCGAACAGTACAGTAGTATATACGCGCCTCAGCCCTCAGCAGTCCCGTTCTGTGAGCTTGTGTGGCCTACCACTTCCGTTGTTGCTCCTAGACGTTTCCACTTCACAATAACAGCACTTACAGTTGACCGGGACAGCTCTAGCTGGGCAGACATTTGACAAACTGACTTGTTGGGAAGGTGTCATCCTATAATGGTGCCACATTGAAAGTCACTGAGCTCTTCAGTAAGGCCATTTTACTACCAATGTTTGTCTATGGAGATTGCATGGCGGTGTGCTTAATTATATGTCAGCAACACGTGTGGCTGAAATACCCGAATCCACTAATTTGAAGGGGTGTCCACATACTTTTGTGTGTGTGTATATATAATGTATGTTGTCAGGTTGTTATCAAGGTTCATTTAAGATGTGAGTGTGTCAGTTGGATCTGTTGAGAAATCCATAGGAGAAAATAACTCTTATGATTTTCTTAGAAATCCTGCCTGTGTTATATCTTAAAGGTCCAATGCAGCCTTTTTTTTCACAATATCAAATCATATCTGGGTAACATTTAAGTACCTTGCTGTGAATGTAAAAAAAAAAAAAAAAAAAGAAAAGCTGCTTAGCTAAAATACATTTCCCAAGCACAAATTTTGCTAGGACTGTCTGGGAGTGGGGAGGGGAAAACTGAAATGTAACTCTTATTGGCAGAGGTTTGGAACTCTTTCTTATTGGTCTATTAAATATTACCGCATGGTGATGTCACCATGGAAGGCCAAAACTCCCTCCCATCAAAACAGGCTGAAATTTCAGATGGACTTTTCAAACAGTTCTTACACTAAAAGGGCATATCATTATTTTCACAATTTCACAGTGTTATTCCAACCTGATAGTGTGGAAATGTATATAAAACACAGGAAAATCACGTTTTTGACTGCACGGGGCCTTTAAAGTTTTCCTTTCTTTTCTCTCCAGAATAAAGTGACAGTAGCTGAAAAGAAATTGCAGGACATCCAGAGCAGGCTTGATAGTCGGAAAGAAGAGGAGGAGTCCCTGTCAGAGGACTGTCGGAAGATTAAGGAAGAAGTAAAGTCGAAGAACAAAGCTCAGAAAGAGCAGGAGGTAAGGGGCTGGGTTGGGGTCAATCCTATTCCAGGAAGTAAATTGAGGCTTACGGCCCAAATGGCACCCTATTCCCTATGTAGTACACTACTTTTGACCAGGGTCAATAGGGCTCTGTTCAAAAGTAGTGCACTTTATAGGGAATAGGGTGCTGTTTGGGACGAACCTGAAATGTAAATTTTCCTCGCCAATACCCTTGCATACTGATACTTTTTCTGCATGAGTTTGCAGCACTTTGAAATGTAACACCATTGTCTGAGCTGTATTGTCTGAGCTGTATTGTCTGAGCTGTATTGTCTGAGCTGTATTGTCTGAGCTGTATTGTCTGAGCTGTATTGTCTGAGCTGTATTGTATGCTGTTGTATTGTAGGTGGTGTACTTCCGAGCTGTGAACAAACTGAAGCAGTCGGAGAAGGAACAGTCTCTTCTTCGTGAGAGAATTCACAAAGTGAAAAATATGTGAGATTTTTGAGTGATAGTTGGGCATTCAGCATTAGTCAATGTTTGGTAGAATATACTGTGAAATAATTAACTGCCAGTGTTGAGGAGTAGGTATTTAACTACGTTTTGCAGTAGCTAGATGGTAGTTAAACAAATTTCAAATCTAGGTAGTGTTTTCAGTAGTTAATAACTTATTTGCCATGTAGTGGTGGTGTAGCTAACCACTGGAACTTTCTTCTAAAAATAACCGAAAATATGGTAGGCATCACATCTTCCGAATTCTGACTTGAAACAGTAATCTGTGCTTTCAGTTTGTGGTCTGACATTTCAGATGTAGATACCAGAATTTATCACCAAGTAGTTTGGATGTAGTGAACTGCTTTTTCAAAGTAACTTAAGTAAACTATATTTTTCTTAAGAGTAGCTTTAGCGTAGCTTAACTTCTTCCAGTGTGAAGTAATTGGTTGCTACGTAAACTGTTTTACATTCGGCTTTTGTCGAAATGATCTTTTGATGTAACCCTGTAGTGGGAGTCAGAACAAGAAGGCTGAGACGGAGCACACAAAGAGACTGCAGAAAATCTCCAGTCTGAGGACACAGCTGGAGAAGCATGAGACGCAGTGCACCGCTCTGAATCAGGAGATCAAGGACAGGCAACAGGCTCTGTTCAAAGGGAAGGAGGAGCTGGACAAACTACGGTAATGGAAAAACGATGTAGCTCAGTTGGTAGAGCATGGCGTTTGCAACGCCAGGGTTGTGGGTTCGAATCCCACGGGGGGCCAGTATGAAAATGTATGCACTCACTAACTGTAAGTCGCTCTGGATAAGAGCGTCTGCTAAATGACTAAAATGTATTTTCTTTCTCATCCAAGAATGTAGTCTTATCATATTGTACAGCCACAGTATGATAAGATTAGATAAAAACCTGTTATTTTTAAATGATTAAGTCCGATGCATTCCGTTTGCATTCTTCTACAGTATGAAACAAGTACTACAACATACCTACAGACCATTAGCAATTTTAGACGTTAAGACCAAAGGGCCATGGTTCCGGTCTAGAAGCACTGTTTCGACTGCTCCTACAGTTTTTCTTCGGTACTGCAGTTTAACTGACGCCCAGCCCAGAATGACAATTTCCATATACCGGCCACATAGAGAAGTCAGATAATACAATTCCTAATAAGACACTTTAGTCATCAACTTTGTGCACAAAACCTCCATGAATTATTCAAATAATTGTCGCTGAAGCCTTTTTTTTTTTTAAATCAATTTTTGCCGAAGATATTAAACATTTTATATTCATCCAATGTCTGCCATGTTTTTGGATGACGTCGTCGCTGCACCCTGTGCACACTGAGTGCTAGTGCGCATGTGATGTTGGTGCGCATAAACCAGATACAACCCGTATATGGACGGTCCATGAATCGGCGTATGCCAACGTGAGTAGATTACCTTGGAAACAACGGTCGGACATCTTGGACGCAGTCTCCAGTTCTTATTATACCTCATTGGTTGAGACTGAGAAGCTTAGTGTTGGAGTAGGGTGTGGCCCGAGGTGACTCACTTATAGGCCTCAGCAAAGTGATCACCACCACTTTCTGCATCAACTGTGACTGACGTGGAATGTTTGTATCAAATGCATCCCATTTGCGCTCACATTCTTCTTTAGTACGAGTACTCAAACTTCTCTAATGCTGATGTATTGATTGAATGCACTAGGTTGGAAGAGAAGAATATCCAGGTGTTGATGGAAGCCAAACTGAAGAGGAAGAACCAGCTCCTGGCCAGTAGATCCAACAAACTGAAGCGCTTTGGAGATAACATGCCTGACCTGCTAGACACCATAGACAAGGCTTACATCCAAGGACGCTTTACCAAGAAACCTCTTGGCCCTATAGGTCAGTGGTTCTCAAGCTTCTTTGGTTGATGTAGGCCAATCATATAGTGGTCTGCCCGAATGGCATGGTCATGTGCAACAGATCTTTAGGTCCATGTTCTTATGAGTCTTCATAAATACCCCCTGTGGGGAAACCTCAGAAAGATGTTTTTAACATTTAATTAATCTGTTTGTTCATTTTTTTTTTTTTTTTGTCCATTCATCCACCCATCTGCCTACCTACCCACCCATCCATCCATCCATGTTTTCCCCTCAGGGGCATGTATCAACCTGAAGGACCCAGCGTTAGCTATAGCAGTGGAGAGCTGCTTGAGGAGCTTCATGAAGACCTTCTGCTGTGACAACTACAAGGACGAGGCTGTCCTCCAGGACCTGATGTCACGTTACTTCTCTAAAGGCAACAGGCCCCAGATCATCGTAAGCCCCTTCTCTGGCTCCGTCTACAAGGTTCAAGGACGGTGAGACACATTGGCTCCATCTGAAATTGCAACACATTCCCTACATGGCTCTTGTCAAAAAGTAGCGCACTATGTAGGGAATAGGGTGCAATTTGGGACACATTTAGTTACAGATATTATTAGAGTGAAACTGTGTGGACTGATGAATAACAAGTCTCATTGTTACCAAATTGTTTTATATGTACATAACAAACTGTGTCTACACTTTTTGTCTTTTTGTCAGTAAAGCTATTTTATTTTATTTTTTTGTGTGTTTCAGAGGAGTCAATCACCCAGACTACCCCTCAGTGCTGGACTCTCTGAGCATAGCCAACCCAGTCATCACAAACTGTCTCATCGATATGAGAGGCATAGAATCGATTCTCATAATCAAGGTTAGTTTCTTCCCTGATTTAAGCTCATAGTTGTGGTCAAAAGTTTTGAGAATGACACAAGTATTGGTCTTCACATAGTTTGCTGCTTCAGTGTTTTTAGATATTTTTGTCAGATGTTACTATGGTATACTGAAGTATAATTGGAAGCATTCCATAAGTGTCAAAGGCTTTTATTGACAATTACATTAAGTTTATGCAAATAGTCAATATTTGCTGAGAAGCAACCCCACACATGAATGGTCTCAGGATGCTTTACTTTTGGCATGACACAGGACTGATGGTAGCACTCACCTTATCTTCTCCGGACAAGCTTTTTTTCCGGATGCCCCCAAACAATCGGAAAGGGGATTCATCAGAGAAAATGACTTTACCCCAGTCCTCAGCAGTCCAATCCCTGTACCTTTTGCAGAATATCAGTCTGTCCCTGATGTTTTTCCTGGAGAGAAGTGGCTTCTTTGCTGCCCTTCTTGACACCAGGCCATCCTCCAAAAGTCTTTGCCTCACTGTGCGTGCAGATGCACTCACACCTGCCTGCTGCCATTCCTGAGCAAGCTCTGCACTGGTGGTGCCCCGATCCTGCAGCTGAATCAACTTTAGGAGACGGTCCTGGCGCTTGCTGGAATTTCATGGGCGTCCTGAAGCCTTCTTCACAACAATTGAACCTCTCTCCTTGAAGTTCTTGATGATCCGATAAATGGTTGATTTAGGTGCAATCTTACTAGCAGCAATATCATTGCCTGTGAAGCACTTTTTGTGCAAAGCAATGATGACGGCACATGTTTCCTTGCAGGTAACCATGGTTAACAGAGGAAGAACAATGATTTCAAGCACCACCCTCCTTTTAAAGCTTCCAGTCTGTTATTCTAACTCAATCAGCATGACAGAGTGATCTCCAGCCTTGTCCTCGTCAACACTCTCACCTGTGTTAACGAGATAATTCCTGACATGATGTCAGCTGGTCCTTTTGTGGCAGGGCTGAAATGCAGTGGAAATGTTTTTTGGGGATTAAGTTCATTTTCATGGCAAAGAGGGACTTTGCAATTAATTGCAATTCATCTGATCACTCTTCATAACATTCTGGAGTATATGCAAATTGCCATCATAAAAACTGAGGCAGCAGACTTTGTGAAAATATTTGTGTCCTTCTCAAAACTTTTGACCACGACTGTACAGTCCAACAAACTGTTTGTTTCGAAGGAGTTTGCATTGAGGCGTGATGCTACAAAGGTAAATTGGAAGATCTAAAAATGATAATGTCTGTTTCTAACTGTACCATCATGGAATTGATCAGGCTGTCTTGCATAGAGTGGGAACAGTAGGTAGCTGAAGTTTGAAGATGGTTTTAAGTTAGCAGTAGACTTTGCTGTATGCAGATGTTTCCCCTTCTTCACTGGAGAGTAGGGATGTCCCCGGACAAAAACATCTTGGTCGACCAAGAGTTCTTTCAACCAATCGACTGGTCGAAATTTTAAAACTTGTATTTTTCCATATATAGACACACACTATATGTGTTTTGATCAAATCAAGTAGGCTACTGTGCTTGTCTGATGCTTTAAGCACACTGTGATTTTTAAATAATTAAGACACACAAATGACTCGAGGGACCCAGAGATCAAAATAGCCTAACCAGAAGAAACAAAACTCTTCCTGACCCACTGCTGGCCTTCGCAGATTCTGCTATTATGCTGACAAAGTTGCCGGTAATAGGCTACACCAGGGGTCTGAAACTTTTCTCATTTGGAGTGCCAATTTATCTTACTATTTCTAACGATCTGCATGCCAGTTAGGATTTTCATATGCTCATTTTCGTGGAACAGTTTAATTTATTTTAATAATGAAGTCTTCGTATCTCAAATCATTGTCATGTGATTAATACAAACTATATCTAACATTATACAAATCTAAAAGTAACTTCTATTGACATCCTATGTAAAAATAGCCTACATAAAGCCAACAAATAAAAACATTGCAGCCTGCAGGTAGAAAATATCCTGATAAAAAATAGATCACATTGGCTACTCATGACCTGTCTTCTAGGAACTTGAAACATTGTATCAACTATCAACTTGGTCCAGCCCAAAGCTTGCTCTAACAAACTTGCAACGTTGTATAAAATATTCTGGACCCTCAGTATCCCATGCTAGTGAGCTCCGGACAGACTCTGAAATATTTGCGCTAGGGATAAGAAGTAATCAGGTAGGCCTATTTTATGACTTTTCCACCAGATCAGAGCATGATTCTTTATAAAAAAAATTTATGCCGAGTGGTTATCGGTAAAGGGAGAGAAATTGAAATATTTTTCTAATAAGCTACGTTGAGGAACTATTGTCATTCTCATTGGATGTAAAAACAGACTTCGTTCACTTGCTGTTTGAGGTGAAGAAAACATTTATTTGAGAAGCTCCACAGCTCATTAGTGGTGGTGAGTTAAGACTATCAGAAATACTATCAGATCCCCAAATTTATAGCCCTACATTTGCGGGCAGGCCAGGTAGCCTAGGCCTACATCTATGCGTAATCATGTCCGTGTCCTTACTCAACATTGACAGGAGTGCTCCAAACAAAACACAATGAATAAATTGACAACTCATAAATGGAATGAAAAAAAACCACAATGTTCCTCACAAGTGTAGCCTAGGTCGTGTGCTCTGCAAACAACGTGTCCACTCCGATAATGAGAACAGTAAAAGACTAATAATAATATATTGAATGCATTAACAGAAATTACGGTAACCAAACAAACGTTGTAGGTTAGAAATGATGAGAATTAAGGGTATGTGTACTACTGGTGATACTGGTGTGCCTCCCCCGCGGCCTCAGCAATGGATTATTCCACTGAGACAGGCATCAATCAAGACATGCCAGTAACTGACTAAAACATCCTTGGTCGACCAACAACCTATCGACAAAACCGTCGACTAAATGAGTCAGCCCTACTGGAGAGGATGATTAAAGTTCTCAGCTACCAATGTTTCTCTCCCGGTTGTGATTGCAGGAGAAGGATGCAGCCAGGAGGGTGATGCAACAAGGCCGACCCCCGAGGAACTGCCGTGAGGCCTTCACTGTGGAGGGAGACCAGGTTTACCCCAACCGGTACTACACTCCAGACTTCAGCATGGCCAAATACCTCGGGGGAGATCTGGAAACAGAAATTCGGCAAGTACCTATTTTGTTGATCTGGACTCTATTTAAGTCATTTAGATGTATTTGGGTTGTTGTAGTGTGCTCTTATAAAGGACCTTGCTCCGAAACCCATCAGCACTACATATTTGTTTATTGATTTTATTTAACCTTTATTTAACCAGGAAGTACCAGATTAAGATCACTTTATTGGTCAATTGCACACGAGGTCCAACGTAAATCTGACTTCCGCTATTAACCCATCCCCTCAGAAAGACAAACACACAAATATATATATATATATATATATACATACAGTGGGGAAAAAAGTATTTAGTTAGCCACCAATTGTGCAAGTTCTCCCACTTAAAAAGATGAGAGGCCTGTAATTTTCATCATAGGTACACATCAACTATGACAGACAAATGGAGAAAAAAAAATCCAGAAAATCACATTGTAGGATTTTTAATGAATTTATTTGCAAATGATGGTGGAAAATAAGTATTTGGTCACCTACAAACAAGCAAGATTTCTGGCTCTCACAGACCTGTAACTTCTTCTTTAAGAGGCTCCTCTGTCCTCCACTCGTTACCTGTATTAATGGCACCTGTTTGAACTTGTTATCAGTATAAAAGACACCTGTCCACAACCTCAAACAGTCACACTCCAAACTCCACTATGGCCAAGACCAAAGAGCTGTCAAAGGACACCAGAAACAAAATTGTAGACCTGCACCAGGCTGGGAAGACTGAATCTGCAATAGGTAAGCAGCTTGGTTTGAAGAAATCAACTGTGGGAGCAATTATTAGGAAATGGAAGACATACAAGACCACTGATAATCTCCCTCGATCTGGGGCTCCACGCAAGATCTCACCCTGTGGGGTCAAAATGATCACAAGAACGGTGAGCAAAAATCCCAGAACCACACGGGGGGTACCTAGTGAATGACCTGCAGAGAGCTGGGACCAAAGTAACAAAGCCTACCATCAGTAACACACTACGCCGCCAGGGACTCAAATCCTGCAGTGCCAGACGTGTCCCCCTGCTTAAGCCAGTACATGTCCAGGCCCGTCTGAAGTTTGCTAGAGTGCATTTGGATGATCCAGAAGAGGATTGGGAGAATGTCATATGGTCAGATGAAACCAAAATATAACTTTTTGGTAAAAACTCAACTCGTCGTGTTTGGAGGACAAAGAATGCTGAGTTGCATCCAAGGAACACCATACCTACTGTGAAGCATGGGGTGGAAACATCATGCTTTGGGGCTGTTTTTCTGCAAAGGGACCAGGACGACTGATCCGTGTAAAGGAAAGAATGAATGGGGCCATGTATCGTGAGATTTTGAGTGAAAACCTCCTTCCATCAGCAAGGGCATTGAAGATGAAACGTGGCTGGGTCTTTCAGCATGACAATGATCCCAAACACACCGCCCGGGCAACGAAGGAGTGGCTTCGTAAGAAGCATTTCAAGGTCCTGGAGTGGCCTAGCCAGTCTCCAGATCTCAACCCCATAGAAAATCTTTGGAGGGAGTTGAAAGTCCGTGTTGCCCAGCGACAGCCCCAAAACATGACCTTCTCCCATTCCTCCTCTGGATCATCCAGATGGTCATGCACTGGCTTGAGCAGGGGGACCTTGCGTGCGCTGCAGTATTTTAATCCATGACGGCGTAGTGTGTTACTAATGGTTTTCTTTGAGACTGTGGTCCCAGCTCTCTTCAGGTCATTGACCAGGTCCTGCCGTGTAGTTCTGGGCTGATCCCTCACCTTCCTCATGATCATTGATGCCCCACAAGGTGAGATCTTGCATGGAGCCCCAGACCGAGGGTGATTGACCGTCATCTTGAACTTCTACCATTTTCTAATAATTGCGCCAACAGTTGTTGCCTTCTCACCAAGCTGCTTGCCTATTGTCCTGTTGCCCATCCCAGCCTTGTGCAGGTCTACAATTTTATCCCTGATGTCCTTACACAGCTCTCTGGTCTTGGCCATTGTGGAGAGGTTGGAGTCTGTTTGATTGAGTGTGTGGACAGGTGTCTTTTATACAGGTAACGAGTTCAAACAGGTGCAGTTAATACAGGTAATGAGTGGAGAACAGGAGGGCTTCTTAAAGAAAAACGAACAGGTCTGTGAGAGCCGGAATTCTTACTGGTTGGTAGGTGATCAAATACTTATGTCATGCAATAAAATGCAAATTAATTACTTAAAAATCATACAATGTGATTTTCTGGATTTTTGTTTTAGATTCCGTCTCTCACAGTTGAAGTGTACCTATGATAAAAATTACAGACCTCTACATGCTTTGTAAGTAGGAAAACCTGCAAAATCGGCAGTGTATCAAATACTTGTTCTCCCCACTGTATATTGAAGACACACCCTATGTGTTTGAATAAAACCAACTACATATGCACTGAGCTTGTCTGATGCGTTAAGCACACTGTTTGATTAAATAATTAAGACACACAAAGGACTCAAGGAAGAGCCCGATGGTGACACTGTGTTATTCACAGCGAGTGCCTGTGTGACTGGTGCATGTTGTCTTCCTCTCTACTGCAGCCAAAAGACACCACAGCACAGCAAGTGTTTTATTGCGCTGTGTGTGCTGAAGCTGCAACATTTCAGCCATTTGGTTTACTTACTTGAAAAGGTCTGTTACCGTTTAGGAAAAACATACCCTGAACCCTTGCTCTCTCTTTACGTGAATCATGTAAGCATCACATTCCTGTGATCAATAACAGTTGTTGTTAGATTACAATATTTTTGTTAAATCCCGACCATTTGGAATAGTGTAAACAACATTAAATAACGGAAAAAAAGATGTATAAAGGCTTTATTACAGCAGACTAAAAACAGTTTAGCTGTTTATTATTTGTTTAGGCTCATTATTCAAAGCTCCGTTTGTTAGTTAATTTTAAAACTAAAATGCTTGATTGCATTTCAAAAGCATGAATGTCTCCTATGCTGTGTGATGGCATGAATTAATATTTGATTGATGGAGTGTTTGATACAGTAGCCTATATATTGAATTATAGGCCTAAGTAAGTTACGGTATTAAGACTAAACAGGATGTGCTCTTAGGCCTACAGCTAGATGGTGGTTATACAAGGCTACTCTACAAAGCCTACTAATGATAACGACATTACTTATTATTATAATGATCATAATAATAACAATAAGAAGGAGATCTAGAGAAAGTAGGGTATAGGAGCGAGAGCTGTGTGCATACTATGTGTGACAAACAGGTGCTGTTAGATTACAAGATCGTTTTTCTGCCTGTTTGGAACAGTGTAAACAACACTAAATACATTATAAGTAATACCAGTCTGTTCTAACGAAAACAAATTGTAAAACCTTTATTACAGCATAGAAAAGATGGAAAAACAGCAGAATCTGTGAAATTGCTTTATCCGACATTTTGCCGTTGCATGAGGCTTCATGGTCACGGAATCAGTAGGCTATTAAACAAACACTCAAACAGACAACAGAAGCAGGATCTGTCTGTCTTATATCTGTAGATATCTATGGATGATTTATAAAGCCAGGCATATTTAAAAGTTAGGCTATTGATTATAGACCTAATTAAGTTGGGGTTTCCTCTCCTCAATTTTCTTAGACAATTAGGCTGAGGCAAGGGATGTTTCCTCGTCTGTGCTGCTGCTGCCTCCGCCACATTGTTCTCAATCCCAATATACTGGTTAATTTTGCTATTATGCACATATAAACATAGGGAAAGGCGCCAATTCTACGGTGCACTGAAGATTATGTTTCAGAACCGTGGACAGTGACCATATACAACGCAGGAGAAAGCGCATTTGGTATAAAATTATATTAGATTTATTAGTGTTCCACCATTATTTTTACATAATATAACCATATGCCATTTCAGTATCACATGTCTTAGAGTGATGGACTGTGCCGTCCTCGTGGCCTCCACAATGGATCAGTCCACTGAGACAGGCACCAATCAGACAGGTGCCTTGGGCACCATGTAAAAACAAAAACTAATTGTGACTGCTCGACTAAAGACATTTCGTTCAAACAACAGCCTATCGACCAAACAATCGACCAGTCGACTAAATGGGGTCAGCCCTAATATATACATATACAGGGTCAGGAGAGTTATGGGGGGCTGCCACACTGGGTGCCCGGGGAACAGTTGTTTTCAGGTGGTTAAGTGCCTTGCTCAAGGGCACAATAGCAGGCAATGGCATCACGGATTTGATACCAGCGACCTTCCGGTTGCCAGCTCACTTTCCACCCCCAGATTTTTCAAGCGGACCCGGAATTCGAACTGGCAACCCTCCGGTTGCTGGCTCGCCTCTTAAACCTGCCCCCTTCATCCCATGAGATGATACTGTCCTTCAGCATTGTATTGATTTGTAGTTTTATTGTTCTTTGTCATTGCTCAGCATGGTGGAGTCAGAGCTGGAGAACTACAAGGCCCAGCTCTCCCGGTTTCAGCTTCACCTGAGCTCAGTCAATGAGGACATCCAGCGCATGGAGGCCAAACTACACAGCACAATCATGACTCTGAAAAAGACTCTGGTAATGTGTTGAACTGTGTTATAATGTGTCTGTCCCTGCTGTGTTTTCTTCCCGAATTGTTCATTTGAATAGGGACATATGCAACTAAAACATTGACACATTGAACAGTCTGATGCATTGTACCATCACTACTCTGAAAAAGACTGGTGGTGTTGTGGCCGTAAGCATGCTCATCACAAGTGTAATGCAATGCAAGCTGTAGATGAATCTGAAAGATATTGACAAATGTCCTGTATATTAATGCAGGGTGCGATCTGTTGTTGAGCATGTTACACCTCTATGTAACGTAGGACATGAATGCTGTTTAACAGTCTACCTGTATATTTGAATGCAGGCCACAGTGAATCAGGTCAAGGCCGGTGTGACAGAGCTGGAGAATGTTGAGGAGGAACAGACTGATGACATCAACACTTTGGTAAAATATATAACTTTATTTATCCATGATTTCCCGTAGAGATGATCGATGACTGATGTTGGTTTGTTTGATTTTTGAAGTGTTAAACGTTTAAATTAAATGCACAGTGTTAACTTCATCAAATGCTACAGGAAGAAGTGGCTCAAGAGAACCAGCAGAGAATCGACGCTGAGAAGAAAACTGTGGAGGAAGCAAAGCAGGAGTTGGTGGAGCGTGAGAAAAATACCAAGGACGTTGATTGCCAGTATGTTGACGTGAGGAACAGGATAGAACAGCTGGCTGAAGAGACAGAGCCACTGAAGGTAAACAAACATGTTTGGAGTGCCTGATGCTGTAAATATGAAAGCAGTTAATAAAATATGCCACTTGGCAGACACTTTTATCCAAAACAACTTACAGTAGAGGGGGTTTGGTACAATGACTACATGTTTTGTATGTGATCCCTGTGGGAATTGAACCCGTGACCTTGCATGGCATTGCCGCTACCATCCTCTTACCAACTGAGGCACACGATACCTGGCTGATCATTACAAAAACAGCAATAAAATACAAATGTTCTTGCTTTTATAGTTTAAATGGTCCTTAATGAAATGGGAGTTATCTGATACACATTAAACTGTTTGTGATGACGTTGTGCTTTGTGTGTTCTTGTTGTGTTCTTGACTTACCAGGAGGAACAGGGAAAGGCTGAGGTACAGTGCAGTAAATTGGATCGAAGCCTGAAGATCTTCGAGAAGAAACTCAAGGATCATCAGGACAACATACAGGCTATGAGAAGTGATCTGGCTCTGAAAGAAGAGGTGGTCACGGTAAGCGATAATGTTTGTCCCAATGTTAGAATCAACCCTAGTGCTGAGCGATTAACCGTAATTTTTTTTTGTTTGTTTGTTTTTAAACAACTAATTAACCGACGTCGGTTCAATTATTTGAATTCCATTTAGTATATATATTTTTTCTGTGAGCTCAATGCACACATTGCACAGTTACTCTTGAGATAAATCAGATCCAGCTGAATTGTGCGATGTAGTAGGGAGTTGTAGTTTCCAACAGTCCAATATTCTACATAGTTTAGTACATAAAACCTGGTAATTAACTACAATGACCATAATCCATTGCGCATCTACTTGTCTGGTCTGTTTATTTTATGCCTGCAATGGATGAGGCAGAAGTATGCGTGATCGTAAGGGGATATAGAGAGCAGCTGTTGCTTCGTGAGGTTTCTCTACCTGAAAATACTTGATCTAAGTGATTGATAGTTGATATTCAGCAGTCATAAAAGTATGCCTTATTTACTTTGAAGAACTACAAAATAGTGATTTGTCAGAGAGGATAAGCAGCAGCTCTATAGAGATGATGACTTGGAATGAAATAAGTCATCAAATGTAGCCTAATGTACACAACAACTGAAATATTTTATTAAATTAATGTGAATAAATGATGGTTAATAAGTGATAAGTGATAAATGTAATTATTATAATAAAACATTTTTATTTAACCTTTTATTTAACTAGGCAAGTCAGTTAAGAACAAATTCTTATTTACAATGACGGCCTGCCCCGGCCAAACCCTCCCCTAACCCGGACGACGCTGGGCCAGTTGTGCGCCGCCCTATGGGACTCCCGATCACGGCCGGTTGTGATACAGCCCGGGATCGGACGCCTCTAGCACTGCGATGCAGTGTCTTAGACCGCTGCGCCACTCAGGATCCCCTAAAAATGGCAGTTGTTAATCTGTTGTTTATAAACTGTTGACAGGAATTTGTGGCCAAAGCCAAAGAGATCAGCCCAGAGCGCCAACACATAGATCGCAGCGCCAGGAGTATTGATGTGGAGATCACGAGGTTACGGAGGAACATCAGCGTTCAGGAGAGTAGCCATGGAGACCATGAGCAGGTGGTCAGGTAGGGTACTGCATGAGTACATATCCAAATGGCATGGATATTTCATAAAACATTGCTCATTTAACTGTCTGTCGTCTTGTAATGTTTAATCTCTCGTGGACAGACTAGGTAAAAACACCAAATTACACATTATTTTTAGTTCTGAGTTAACTGAGATGATGTGATGTTAGAAGACAAGAATTGTGTGTACATTTCTGCCTGCTCCCACATGCTGTACCTACTGTGTCAAGGCATTGAAACTTGTACTGTACATTCCATTTAGTATATATCTTTGTCTCCTCACCAGAGAGTATGCAGAGGCCCTTGCTAACTACAGGGACAAATCCAACCAAGTGAGAGATCTGAAGAAGTTCATAGATCGTCTTGACAACATCATGTCCGACAGGCAGACCCGGTACAAAATAATGCGCAGGTAATTCCCGATCATTTTACGCATTTCATTAAGGACAATCCCACCTTGAAAATGCTCATGACTGTTGTTATTTATTTAAACCGTTCGAAACCCCAAAAATAATACTCTATGGCTGGTTTCCCAGATACAGATTAAGACTAACCCTGTACAAATGGATGATCTCCATTGAGCATGCTTTTTAGCCCACGACTGGCCCTTTTAGTCCACAACTCGCTCTATGAATACAGATTTTTCGAATACTGTATATTTAATTTAATATTCCCCCACTCTTTATTTTTATGTACCTAGGTCCCTCTCTGTGAGATGCAAGTTGTACTTTAATAATTTCCTGATAAAGATGAATTGCTGTGGGTCCATGATGTTTGATCACAACAGTGAGACACTCTCCATCTCGGTATGTGTGCTAATCCTCATAGTTTTCAAATGGCCTCCGTAGCTTTTTACATTTAAAAAAGAATCTGTATTCGTCAGAATCAATTTGACAAATATATATATTTTTAATCATAATTGTTCAGTTCATTTATTTAGCCTTTTACAGGAATGTGTCTGGCATTCAAGAGGACTGAGTTTAAGACAACATTAAACCGTCAGTATTTACAGACAACAGGACATGCATGACAACAACCACATGAAACAGATGGCGCTAGTCACTCCGCCTCGGTTTGTCCTGTTGTCTGTCCTCTCTGTAACCTCCTGGGCTTGTGTGTACAGGTGAAGCCGCCAGGCCGCGAGAACGACAGTATGAGTGACATGCGCTCTCTGTCTGGAGGAGAGAGATCCTTCTCTACAGTGTGTTTCATCCTCTCCCTCTGGGAGATCACGGAGTCCCCCTTCAGGTGCCTGGACGAGTTTGACGTCTACATGGTAAGACAGGCCTATAAGCATGCTTGTTATTTACACAGCTGGATTCACATAGTTTCTAAAATAGTATTTAATCAAAGTTCAAGTTACTAACGCTCTTCTCCAAGACCTTAGTTTGAGCTGACGAGAAATTTTGAAATCCTTGAAGTTTACAACTTCTATGACTAATTTAAAGGCCCAATGCAGCCATTTTTATATCAGTATGAAATCATTTCTGGGTAACCACTAAGTACCTTACTGTAATACACTGAACCAAAATCTAAATGCAACATGCAAAAATTTGAAAAGATTTTACTGCGTTACGGTTCATATAAGGAAATCAGTCAATTGAAATGAATTCATTAGGCCCTAATCCGATTTCACATGACAGGGAATACAGATATGCATCTGTTGGTCACAGATACCTTAAAAAAAAAAAAAAAGTTACGGACGTGGATCAGAAAACCAGTCAGTATCTGGTGGATCCACCATTTGTTTCATGCAGCGTGACACATCTCCTTCGCATAGTGTTGATCAGGTTGTTGATTGTGGAATGTTGTCCCAATCCTCTTCAATGGCTGCGCCATCTGCCCGGTACAGTTGAAGCTGGGATTCATCCGTGAAGAGCACTCTTCTCCAGCATGCCAGTGGCCATCGAAGGTGAACATTTGCCCATTGAAGCCAGTTACGACACTGAGCAGCAGTCAGGTCAAGACCCTGGTGAGGACGACGAGCACGCAGATCAGCTTCCCTGAGACTGTTTCTGACAGTTTGTGCAGAAATTATTTGGTTGTACAAACCCACAGTTTCATCAGCTGTCATCGTGGCTGGTCTCAGACGATCCCACAGGTGAAGAAGCCGGATGTGGAGTTCCTGGGCTGGCGTGGATACATGTGGTCTGCAGTTGTGAGGCCGGTTGGTCGTACTGCCAAATGCTCTAAAACGACGTTGGAGGTGGCTTAGAAATTCTATGGCAACAGTTCTGGTGGGCATTCCTGCAGTCAGCATGCCAAATTTGTTTACATCCCTGTTAGTGAGCATTTCTTCTTTGCCAAGATAATCCATCTACATGACAGGTGTGGCATATCAAGAAGCTGATTAAACAGCATGGTCATTGCACGAGTGCACCTTGTGCTGGGAACAATAAAATGCCATTCTAAAATGTGCAGTTTTGTCGCACAACACAATGCCACAGATGTCTCAACTTTTGAGGGAGCGTGCAATTGGCAAGCTCACTGAAGGAATGACCACCAGAGCTGTTGCCAGAGAATTCAATGTTAATTTCTCTTTCATAAGCTGCCTCCAACGTTGTTTTAGAGAATTTGGCAGTATGTCCAACCAACCGCAGACCATGTCTATGGCGTTGTGTGGGCAAGCGGTTTGCTGATGTCAACGTTGTGAACAGAGTGCCACATAGGGTTATGGTATGCGCAGGCATAAGCTACGGACAACAAGCACAATTGCATTTTATTGATAACAATTTCAATGCACAAAAATACCGTGCAGTGGGGGAAAAAAGTATTTAGTCAGCCACCAATTGTGCAAGTTCTCCCACTTAAAAAGATGAGAGGCCTGTAAATTTCATCATAGGTACACGTCAACTATGACAGACAAAATGAGAAAAAAAATCCAGAAAATCACATTGTAGGATTTTTTATGAATTTATTTGCAAATTATGGTGGAAAATAAGTATTTGGTCAATAACAAAAGTTTCTCAATACTTTGTTATATACCCTTTGTTGGCAATGACACAGGTCAAATGTTTTCTGTAAGTCTTCACAAGGTTTTCACACACTGTTGCTGGTATTTTGGCCCATTCCTCCATGCAGATCTCCTCTAGAGCAGTAATGTTTTGGGGCTGTCGCTGGGCAACACGGACTTTCAACTCCCTCCAAATATTTTCTATGGGGTTGAGATCTGGAGACTGGCTAGGCCACTCCAGGACCTTGAAATGCTTCTTACGAAGCCACTCCTTCATTGCCCGGGTGGTGTGTTTGGGATCATTGTCATGCTGAAAGACCCAGCCACGTTTCATCTTCAATGCCCTTGCTGATGGAAGGAGGTTTTCACTCAAAATCTCACGATACATGGCCCCATTCATTCTTTCCTTTACACGGATCAGTCGTCCTGGTCCCTTTGCAGAAAAACAGCCCCAAAGCATGATGTTTCCACCCACATGCTTCACAGTATGTATGGTGTTCTTTGGATGCAACTCAGCATTCTTTGTCCTCCAAACACGACGAGTTGAGTTTTTACCAAAAAGTTCTATTTTGGTTTCATCTGACCATATGACATTCTCCCAATCCTCTTCTGGATCATCCAAATGCACTCTAGCAAACTTCAGACGGGCCTGGACATGTACTGGCTTAAGCAGGGGGACACGTCTGGCACTGCAGGATTTGAGTCCCTGGCGGCGTAGTGTGTTACTGATGGTAGGCTTTGTTACTTTGGTCCCAGCTCTCTGCAGGTCATTCACTAGGTCCCCCCGTGTGGTTCTGGGATTTTTGCTCACCGTTCTTATGATCATTTTGACCCCACGGGGTGAGCTCTTGCGTGGAGCCCCAGATCGAGGGAGATTATCAGTGGTCTTGTATGTCTTCCATTTCCTAATAATTGCTCCCACAGTTGATTTCTTCAAACCAAGCTGCTTACCTATTGCAGATTCAGTCTTCCCAGCCTGGTGCAGGTCTACAATTTTGTTTCTGGTGTCCTTTTGACAGCTCTTTGGTCTTGGCCATAGTGGAGTTTGGAGTGTGACTGTTTGAGGTTGTGGACAGGTGTCTTTTTATACTGATAACAAGTTCAAACAGGTGCCATTAATAAAGGTAACGAGTGGAGGACAAAGGAGCCTCTTAAAGAAGAAGTTACAGGTCTGTGAGAGCCAGAAATCTTGCTTGTTTGTAGGTGACCAAATACTTATTTTCCACCATAATTTGCAAATAAATTCATAAAAAATCCTACAATGTGATTTTCTGGAAAAAAATTCTCAATTTGTCTGTCATAGTTGACGTGTACCTATGATGAAAATTACAGGCCTCTCATCTTTTTAAGTGGGAGAACTTGCACAATTGGTGGCTGACTAAATACTTTTTTCCCCCACTGTACATTTACATGACCAAAAGTATGTGAACACCTGCTCGTCGAACGTCTCATTCCAAAATCATGGGCAATAATTTGGAGTTGGTCCCCATTTTGCTGCTATAACGGCCTCCACTCTTCTGGGAAGGCTTTCCACTAGATGTTGGAACATTGCTGCGAATAATTGCTTCCATTCAGCCACAAGAGCATTAGTGAGGTCGGGCACTGATGTTGGGCGATTAGGCCTGGCTCGTAGTCTGCGTTCCAATTCATCCCAAAGGTGTTCGATGGGGTTGAGGTCAGGGCTCTGTGTAGGCCAGTCATGTTCTTCCACATCGATCACGACTAACCATTTCTGTATGGACCTCGCTTTGTGCAGTTGGGGGCATTGTCATGCAGAAACAGGAAAGGGCCTTCCCCAAACTGTTGCCACAAAGTTGGAAGCACAGAATCCTCTAGAAGGTCATTGTATGCTGTAGCGTTAAGATTTCCCTTCACTGGAACTGAGGCCTAGCCCGACCCATGAAAAACAGCACCAGAACATTATTCCTCCTCCACCAAACTTTACAGTTGGCACTATGCATTGGGGCAGGTAGCGTTCTCCTGGCATGCGCCAAACCCATATTTGTCGGTCGGACTGCCAGATGGTGAAGCTTGATTCTTCACTCCAGGGAACACTGCTCCAGAGTCCAATGGTGGTGAGCTTTACACCACTCCAGCCGACGCTTGGCATTGCGCATGGTGATTTTAGGCTTGTGTGTGGCTGCTCGGCCATGGAAACCCATTTCATGAAGCTCCTGACAAACAGTTATTGTGCTGACGTTGCTTCCAGAGGCAGTTTGGAACTCGGTAGTGAGACAATTCTTTTCAGCGGTCCCGTTCTGTGAGCTTGTGTGGCCAACCACTTCACAACTTAGCTGTTGCTCCTAGACGTTTCCACTTCACAATAACAGCGCTTACAGTTGACCGGGGCAGCTCTAGCAGGGCAGACATTTTACAAACTGACTTGTTGGAAAGGTGGCATCCTATGATGGTGCCATGTTGAAAGTCACTGAGCTCTTCAGTAAGGCCATTCTACTGCCAATGTTTGTCTATGGAGATTGCATGGCTGTGTGCTCAATTTTATACACCTGTCAACAACGCGTGTGGCTGAAATAGCCGAATCCACTAATTTGAAGGGGTGTCCACATACTTTTGTGTATATATAGTGTATCTGTGACCAACAGATGTGTATCTGTATTCCCAGTTATGGCCTAATGAATTGATTTCAATTGCCTGATTTCCTCATATGAACTGTAACTCAGTAAAATCTTTGTAATTGTTGCATTCATATTTTTGTTCAGTATATTTTATTTGTTGTTTTTGTTTCCTGTTTTGAACCCAGGAAGAGTAGCTAATTGGGGATCTCAACAAAATAGTAAAATAGTAAGCATTAATATTGTCTCCAATTTGTTTTCCAAAGGACATGCACAATCGTCGTATCTCATTGGATCTCCTCCTGGAGCTGTCAGAACGGCAGCACCTTCGTCAGTTCTTCTTCATCACCCCCCTGTCTACCAGGTAGGAGGAAATAGGAGGCGGACATTGTACATGTGTATATTGCCTCCCATTATTGATGTTACGCAGAACATTAAAGATGTGTTGTTGGTGTTTCTCGCAAACTTTGTCTTTAAGCAATTTGCCAAAAAGTGACCACATCAAGATCCATCAGCTGCAGGATCCAGAGAGGGCAGGAAGACGTACAGAAGATGAAGACCTGGGGTAGCTGATAGATGGCAGGGTTGTGGTCAATTCAGTAAGTAAACCAAATTCCAATTTGTACATTCTGAATTTACTGGAATTGAAATGGAGTTGACCCCAACCCTGATAGATGGTGGATTAGGCAATCGTCATGCCTAAAAAATTAGAAACAGCGCGGGAATTTTAAACACATTCTAGTAATTTTTCTAGGAGTGAATACGTAAGCCTCTCTGGGAGACTTAAGACTCTGCTTTACTGTTGTGCGCCATGCAGATGGATGAATTATGAAGAATTTCCCTTATTATACAGTATGTAGGTCTGTATATTTACATAGTGGCTGTGTGGATCATCTTTGTTGTATTATCAACAGTCACATATCTCTAAGCATATCTCACGTTCTACATATTAAAGCTGCAATATGTAACTTTTTGGGTGACCCAACCAAATTCACTGAGAAATGTGTGTTTTAGATCTGTCATTCTCATTGAAAGCAAGTCTAAGAAGTGGCAGATCGGTTCTATGTGCGCTCTTTTACTGCAATATTTCTGTGTATGGAAAATATATTTCACAGAGGTTTAGATGGTACAATGATTCTCTACACTAGATTGTTTTGTCACATAAACTGAAACTAGGCCAACTATTCGAATTTTAGCAACCAGGAAATGGCGAGCGATTTCTGCATAGGTCATTTTTTAATTGCTTGTGATTTAAATTCTGCTTTGAAAGCAAGTGGTGCGATGTTGCAATCTTGCAAATGAGCATTTAACTGTAAATTTGGTTTTGGCTGATTTGTTGAGTGCCTTTTTTAGCTTACTGTATGTGTGCACTAGATGTAGATATATTTGACTTTGATTACAGTTAGTAATACACTGTGTAATTTTGATACATTGGGAAGTATGTTTTGTTTCATTCCTTATTCAGAAATAATTTGCCCAACCCTGTTATTGATTTAACTGTAATATGTTTAGGTTACTGTATTTGTTTTTAAAATATTTGAATGATGATGATGTGCTTTAAACTACTGTCACTTGAAAGATGTTTTACGCAGCCAATTTTCTAACCTAATTTATATTTTGGAATTCTTACTGTTACAGTGTTACAATTTAAATGCATTAACAAATATTAGCTGATCCGACTGTCATTGGTTGTAATACATAATATTACAGACATTGGGGAAAATAAACTAATGGAAATACCTGTATCTTAAATGAGAGAATCTTGAAAGGCCAATAATTCACCTCGAACAACAACATAATGCATATGTTTGGAACCTAACTAGTTGCTAAACCAGCATCATTTTTGTTGGTGTGGCCAGCATGGAAATATGTACCATTCTTGATTGATTGGTTAATGAATAGAATCACACTTACCAGACCATGGCTTTTGTAAAAGCCCGTAGATGTTTATTTTATTGAGTTTCATTAGGACTACATAAAGAATGTAACCATGTAATTTTGGGTGCAACACATGCAACATGTATAAAAAGAACAAAACTAACAAAATACAGTCTTATCATTTTGAATTTGATTTTTCATATTTAGTATAAACATTTACTTGACAAAGATTGTTGCCATGGAGTTTGGATCATCCTGTTCTAATTATAATATAATAATAATAATAATAATAATAATAATAATAACCAACTATGAGCATTCAAGTCAACATGATGCTGTATCCAGAACTGTGAAAACCAGTGCCAGATTCCTCTGGTACAGTAAGTGGACTGTCTACCAGGACATGCCTGCATAGCTTCGCAGTGGTAAATCAGTCTAGTATGGTTCAATGGAAAGTACATTTTCACAATATCTGTAATCCATATAGGTGTACATTTGAAACAGGACTACAACCTTTAGTTTCAAAAGCTTTGTGTTCATGTAGCACTATCTAGTGTAGGATTCTGCATCATCACATTTTTATTTTTATAAAAGTACCGTTGGTAGTAATGCAGTATGTCCGGTGAACTCATGTAAGGTTTTTCTGCTCTGGAAATAAGTGCTTCACAAGCTCCAGACGCCATGCTTGAAAGCCAATAGTGTTACATTTCTGCCATGCTCTGTGTTACAGTAAACATATTGATATGTATGATGTAACTCTGTATTGTAAATAGTGGGCAAACGTACAGGCAGAGAAATCCAACCTATTAGGAGCGTTATCATGGCATATATAATGTATCCAGAAATGCTAAGAGTGATGGGTGGCTGATATTGAATATAGATAAGCATTGGCCTGGTGTTGATTGCTCTTACGTTGATTACATTTTGCAAATCCAATCAGTTTTCCATGTTAATAATAATAATAATAATAATAATAATAATAATATGCCATTTAGCAGACGCTTTTATCCAAAGCGACTTAGTCATGTGTGCATACATTTTTACGTATGGGTGGTCCCGGGGATCGAACCCACTACCCTAGCGTTATAAGCGCCATGCTCTACCAATTGAGCTACAGAGGACCACCATGTTGATTCAACGTCATCACATGTACATTTTTTTATGCCGTGGAAATAGCGTTGATTCAACCAGTTTTTGCCCAGTGGGTAGTATATAATCAGCACCAGATTTATTCTCTCGTTTCTCAGTACTGCTGGACTTGAATTCAATACTCAACTTTCAGATACATCTTCTCTCTGTGTGAGAGGTTACAACCTGGGCCCGTATTGGCTGTCGTTCAAGAACTCAAGTGTCACATTAATTACACATGTATACATTATAAAAAATGAGGGCAACAAGCTCCCACAGGAGGTTAATAATGTAATGGTCTGGTGAATCACTACTGTACATCCCATGCAACAATACCAAACGCTTTTCGTAGGGCTTCTCCTTGAATACCCCGCTTGCAGATGCAACAACTTAATAAGAGGTTAGATTATAGAGCCTGAACACATAACACATGCATGCAAAGATTAGAACCTACACTTCAATTCCAGTCAGTCTGAATAGAACACCTTATTTGGAAAGAACAAGAATCTCCTCTATTTTTCCAAGAGCTCAAGAAGTTTGAATATTATAGAGACGAGTTACAATTATCATAGGAATGAGTGTTCATTACCAGCATATTAAGCATTAGAAGCTAGCTGCAGCAGTGGACATAGATCATCTAAATACTGCAGGAACAGAATCATTTGATGTATAGAGCTTCACTGATATACAAGCTAGCCTAAAAGTGAATGGGTAAATGGAATAGGATGACTTGTGCACAATTCACATTGGCAGATCAGTTTCGATAAAATATAAATGTATCATGATACTGTGTAATATAATATATTTAAAATTATTCTGCTATTTGACATTCTCATGCATACAACCACAAGAAGCAAGTCCATTGAAAAATAGTCCAAGCATAATTATTTTCCTGTGGAAAAGGCTGAGAAGTTGAAGAAGAAGAACTTAATGAAACATTAAAACATGTGCTGACTGTCCAAAGAGTGAGCAGGTCTGATTTTCTGCAGACGAGCACCACCTCCTCACTTCTGCATATCACACTGCAACAGGAGCACGATGGACGGATCGCTCTTGGCCGCCTCTTTGAACTCATCCAATGAGATCTGGTCGTCGTTGTTCTTGTCCATCTTGCTGAAGATCCTGTCCACCCGTTGCTCCGGTGTCAGGCCGTCCTCGTTCATCTTCATCATGATCACAGTGCCCACCATTTTGTATATGGCCTATAGACACACAGGGGTGAGAGGTGAGGTGATACTACAGGAAAAGAACAGGGGTATAAGGAATTCAAGAAATACCTATTTTCACACAGTCATGGTTAATCTGTTAACATGTTCAAAGTTTAATCTTGATACTACTTCAGTTATTTACCAATGTTCCCCACCATAACATACTGTATAGGCATATACATAACATATACAGTGGGGAGAACAAGTATTTGATACACTGCCGATTTTGCAGATTTTCCTACTTACAAAGCATGTAGAGGTCTGTAATTTCTATCATAGGTACACTTCAACTTTGAGAGACGTAATCTAAAACAAAAATCCAGAAAATCACATTGTATGATTTTTAAGTAATTAATTTGCATTTTATTGCATGGCATAAGTATTTGATCACCTACCAACCAGTAAGAATTCCGGCTCTCACAGACCTGTTCGTTTTTCTTTAAGCCCTCCTGTTCTCCACTCATTACCTGTATTAACTGTACCTGTTTGAACTCGTTACCTGTATAAAAGACACCTGTCCACACACTCAATCAAACAGACTCCAACCTCTCCACAATGGCCAAGACCAGAGAGCTGTGTAAGGACATCAGGGATACAATTGTAGACCTGCACAAGGCTGGGATGGGCTACAGGACAATAGGCAAGCAGTTTGGTGAGAAGGCAACAACTGTTGGCGCAATTATTAGAAAATGGAAGAAGTTCAAGATGACGGTCAATCACCCTCGGTCTGGGGCTCCATGCAAGATCTCACCTCGTGGGGCATCAATGATCATGAGGAAGGTGAGGGATCAGCCCAGAACTACACGGCAGGAACTGGTCAATGACCTGAAGAGAGCTGGGACCACAGTCTCAAAGAAAACCATTAGTAACACACTACGCCGTCATGGATTAAAATACTGCAGCGCAAGCAAGGTCCCCCTGCTCAAGCCAGTGCATGTCCAGGCCCGTCTGAAGTTTGCCAATGACCATCTGGATGATCCAGAGGAGGAATGGGAGGTCATGTGGTCTGATGAGACAAAAATAGAGCTTTTTGGTCTAAACTCCACTCGCCGTGTTTGGAGGAAGAAGAAGGATGAGTACAACCCCAAGAACACCATCCCAACCGTGAAGCATGGAAGTGGAAACATCATTCTTTGGGGATGCTTTTCTGCAAAGGGGACAGGACGACTGCACCGTATTGAGGGGAGGATGGATGGGGCCATGTATCGCGAGATCTTGGCCAACAACCTCCTTCCCTCAGTAAGAGCATTGAAGATGGGTCGTGGCTGGGTCTTCCAGCATGACAACGACCCGAAACACACAGCCAGGGCAACTAAGGAGTGGCTCCGTAAGAAGCATCTCTAGGTCCTGGAGTGGCCTAGCCAGTCTCCAGACCTGAACCCAATAGAAAATCTTTGGAGGGAGCTGAAAGTCCGTATTGCCCAGCGACAGCCCCGAAACCTGGAGGATCTGGAGAAGGTCTGTATGGAGGAGTGGGCCAAAATCCCTGCTGCAGTGTGTGCAAACCTGGTCAAGACCTACAGGAAACGTATGATCTCTGTAATTGCAAAAAAAAAAGATTTCTGTACCAAATATTAAGTTCTGCTTTTCTGATGTATCAAATACTTATGTCATGCAATAAAATGCAAATTAATTACTTAAAAATCATACAATGTGATTTTCTGGATTTTTGTATTAGATTCCGTCTCTCACAGTTGAAGTGTACCTATGATCAAAATTACAGACCTCTACATGCTTTGTAAGTAGGAAAACCTGCAAAATCGGCAGTGTATCAAATACTTGTTCTCCCCACTGTATAACATAACACACTGCCCTTACCCACCTGGACAAAAGGAGTGGATATGTGAGGATGCTGTTCATCGACTACAGCTCGGCCTTCAATACCATAGTGCCCTATAAGCGCATTATGAAGCTCACGGCCCTGGGTCTGAACTCCTCCCTATGCAACTGAGTCCTGGACTTCCTGACGGGCCGCCTCCAGGTGGTGAAGGTAGGCAAAATGACCTCCTCGACTGATTCTCAACACGGGAGCCTCACAAGGGTGTGCCCGCTGTCACCTCCTGTATTCCCTGTGTACCCACGACTGCATGGCCTCACACAGTTCCAACTCCATCAAGTTCGCTGATGACACAACAGTAGTAGGCCTGATTACCAACAATGATGAGACACTCTGACGGTGTGTCGCCAGGTAACCAACCTCTCCCTCAACGTTAGCAAAACAAAGGAGCTGACTGTGGACTTCAGGCTGGACACGCCCCCATCCACATCAACAGGACCGCCGTGGAGACGGTCAATACCTTCAAATTCCTCGGCGTACACATCGCAGAGAAGCTGAAATGGTCTAACCACACAGACACCGTGGTGAAGAAGGCACGACAGCAACTCTTCAACCTCAGGATGCTGAATAAATTAGGCTTGTCCCCGAGAGCCCTCCGTGTTCTACAGGAGCACCATCAAGAGCATACTGTCAGGCTGCATCACAGCCTGGAATGGCAACTCCACCGCCGCAGACTGCAATGCACTTCAGAGAGTGATACGTGCAGCCGAACGCACCAATTGAGTGCACACTGCCTGCCCTACAGGACACCTACAACACCAGGTGTCGCAGGAAGTCCAAGAAGATCATCAGGGACCCCAGACACCCAAACCATGCCCTGTTCTCCCCGCTTCAATCACTCCGACATTGGCAGTACAGGAGCATCATGGCAAAAACTGGAAGAGTGGCCAATCTAACCTCAGACCATCAGGCTAGTCAGCAACCTACTCCCCCCTCCCCCCTGCTACTCCCCCAATGGACATTTTCACCCCACACCCCTCTCAATGGTCACTTACCTTACCTTCTGTTCCCCCTATGGACACACATTCTCCTGATTTTATCTAGCGGCTAAACTTGATCGTCCTCTGTCTCAATGTTTATTTTAGTCATGTTTGTCTTTGCAGTATACATTCAAGTAACATGCACTGCAGATTTCATTAAAACTGGATAAATAACTTAAACAGCTAGTATAAGCTTCATGGGTACAAGTTTTAAAAAAACATATAGGGCTGGCTTCCCGGGCACGGACTAAACCTAGTAATGGACTAAAACGGCTTAATCTGTGTCCGGGAAGCCAGCCATCAATGTGATTCCTTACCTCAATGATCTCTAACATCTCCACCCTGGTGATCTTGCCATCTCCATCCAGATCGTACATGTTGAAGGCCCAGTTGAGTTTCTGCTCGAAGCTGCCACGCGATGTGATGGACAGGGCACAGATGAACTCTCTGAAGTCGATGGTGCCATCGCTGTTCTTGTCGAAGGTCCTGAAGGCGTGCTGTGCAAACTTTGATGCATCGCCGTACGGGAAGAACTGCAAAGTTGAGAAATTGATTGAGACAGCTGTGATATCCAACTATTTAAAAACGTATCTTTAGTTGTAACTAGCATTATGATCAGTTAATATGACGGAGAAAACATAATGAACGACAGAGCAGTTCTAATGCAGAGAAATCAAACCCTGATTCTGTCTGTTCTAGCTTCACAAAGGTTTCTTATCACATTATATAATAAGGATATCAATCATTTCCCTAGCTAGAAGTTATAACACCATATATAAATCATTTCTCCGGGTGTACCACACCTCATACGCACCTTGATATAGAGTTGTTGAAACTCGTCCAGGTTCAGCCTGCCGCTGGGACAGTCTTTGAGGAAGCCTTTGTACCACTGCTTCAGCTCGTGTTCGTTAAACTCCGTGCTCTTCACCAGGTCCTCCATCACCTCAGGGGTCAGCTTGCTGTTCTGTTTTCCCATGATGCCTGTGGTGCAGGAAGCACATGATCAAAGAGACTCGATAAGATAAAACCTCTCTGACAGTGATGACTGGGATGGGTTTTATACTGAATAGAAAGGAAACTCCAGCACACAGAATATATTGATGCTTCTAGACATTTAATAAATCATAGGCCAGCGTTTCGGTCTCAATAAACCTTTACCAGGGTATTGTTCTACTAACATGTAGTACAATATAGCACATTTCTTAAGTAAGACATTTCTTTATTTTATTTGACTTCTATCATGGTTATAGAAAAAGCCTATCACACATTCAAATGTATATTGTGCGTTATGCATAGCGCATAAGATGTTATAAACATGCTTATAATGCATAATGAAGGGAGGGTTTTCATAGGAAGTGTTACCAACAATTTTGCTCTCAAACCTGCTTTGTGTCAAACAGTCCTTTTGTAAAAAAATAAACCAAAAAAACAACATTAATAATGAATTGCTTGGTTGATTTCAAGCAATCTGTGTGACCTGCACAGATGCTTTCCCTGCCTGACGCCAGTGTTCTATTTGTGTTCTCTAAATCTGTTGGCACCACATCACATCTGGCCTGACATCACACAGTGCTAGACAGGACCACTGCAGTCAGCACGACCACTTCATCAAGCGTTCGATCATCACCTATCAGGTTACCTGTCTACATTTTACCTGGAGCCACTTGGGATGCATCTTAAATAGCACCATATTCCCTTTATAGTGGCCATAGGGCTCTGGTCAAAGGTAGTGCACTATATAGGGTGCAATTTGGGATGCAGACTTGGGCTTTTAACTGCAGTTTATGTTTAATAACCTCGATGTTGAAACCTTCCAGAGGAATCTATTCATTAATGAAAACGGAGTGATAAAGTCTCCATCACATAGTGGAGGGATTAGATTAAATCAGTGTGTAGCCCGTAGGGTGCATGGGCAATAGGCTATCATTGGTACTTCAGTGATCCTTTAAAGCCTTTTGACTAATGAATAAACAAGGGAATCAGCCCAACTGGTGAGCTGCTCTCTGATCATCTTCAATAATATAAAACTCGCAAATCTGACAGCCTGGATTAAACATTGGCTGCTGCTGACACCTGTCTCGCAAATACGTTGACTACAGTATGTTATGTAAACTAAATGTGCGTCCATATGGTAGCCTATATGCGAAATGTCAGATGTTATCCTGACCTGACCTAGAAAACATAAGCCAAATCAAATTAAGTCAGACTATTTATAAAAGGACAATAGTGGGCGATCATAATAATTGGAACGACCGTAATATAATAGAAGACGTTGATGGCCTTGGGTGCAGGCTATGCAGCATATTGTCATGTAGTCATGGACACCAAGCACCGTGCTTGGACCAACAACCATGTGTTAATGCACCACCTATGCCCAAAAGGTGCAGACCTCTGCGCAGACCATGTATGCCACATACAGCGCGTCAAACTCATTCCACAGAGGGCCAAGTGTCTGCGGGTTTTCGCTCCTCCCTTGTACTTAAATGATGAATTAATGTCACTAATTAGTAAGGAACTCCCCTCACCTGGTTGTCTAGGGCTTAATTGAAAGGGAAAAACTAAAACCAGCAGACATTTGGCCCTCCATGGAATGAGTTTGATACCCCTGACATACAGAAACATTACACGATACACAGACACAGTATATTGACATGGGCTTGGCTTATTTGCAATGTAGGCTATATACCCAACATTTAGCACAAACGATATTTTTCATTTAAAAAATGACATATTTAGATGATACAACCAAAAGGCGTGTGTTGAAATGATTTGGATGTTACATAACATCAAATGAGCGTAAGTCATTAGGCTACTATGCATCGAATGACCTTGAGGAGAAACATTTTGAGCGAAGATAAGAAAAGAGAAAAGATCAGGGGCAAGGTGAAAATGGGTTTGGCTCCTACATTCTGAAGGTTCAATATTTTTAATCTAAGATTAACGTCGTTAGACATTTAACAAGGTATAGATGTCCACATCACATGTACGCGCAAAACTAACATGTGATGTGGAGAAAAATAATAGGCTATTTATTTGCAGATAGAACATGTCATTTATGATATCCAGTTCATGATAGGAGTCTGCTCAGACAGAGAGAGGTATGCAAGTGCATTCCGATAGAAACGACGCAGTGGTGTGGGAATTAAACCTCTTTAGTGATAACCCGCCCGAAATCACACCACTCTATTTCTCATGTCATTTTTCACCATGCGCATAATCTTAAAATATGACAAAAATTGGCAATCAACCCATAAAATTACATGGTTGTCTGGTCATTCTCATGAAATATGAATAGAACGAGAAAAACACCATTTGGATATTATTTTCTAAATATAATGAATTAACTCAGGATGTTTTTAAAACGTAATGCATTAATTTTAAGGTGACAATTCCTCTCTCACCCAAATAAAACGCAAAATCTCTCCCCAAATCTCATTCATTCAAATTTGTTTTTAAGGGCAGGAAACCACCATTATGAGATACATCTTGAATGGAAATGATTAGCCTATGTCGCTAGATATTCAAACAAAATAATGTAAAATACATGCCATGACAACATAAAAACAACATTCACTGTGTCTGCTGCAGACAAATGCTTCTTACCGTATTTTGGAGATGCTACCGCTAATGGCAGTCTGCACTGTCGTCTATTAGACACAGTAAAAACCTCCCGATGATCAAGAATGCCCAAATGGGACTATCCCTGAAATTGGCCTCTTCAGGACGCAGAGCGAAAAATAACGGTTTTCTGTGCTATTCCAAATGAGGCAGGCAGCGGCGGCAGTACAGGGACGGATCCCACGCTCGTCTCGTCTTTGGTTATGCGATTCTAGACATACGGCGTCACCCCCGTGTGCATTACAAATGGATCTTCAGTTGGCCTCAACTCTGTGCATTGCTCCACTGCTTGATTTTCTAAATTTGTGTCGATCAAATAAGTATAGTATAGGCCTGTCTATGACTTAAAAGTCTTGTTCCCTTTCAGCACAAACGATGACATTATTGGATAGGTGTACGGATAAGAATGGGGTGACCAAAACCAGTCAATAAGCACATGCAGAATAACTAAACATTTATTTTCCCTGGGTGATTTCATGCTGTTTTGTTAAAAGGCTATGCTTCATATGGGATATTCAAGAAATACTTTTTTAAAACAGCTATATTTATCCAGATTACCATTTACATGCAACTGCAGTAAGGCCCATAGGCTACATGCACCAGTTTCTGCATATATTCTAACCTACAATAGCCAGGTCAATCCCAAAGCAAACATTTACATTTTAGTCATTTAGCAGACGCTCTTATCCAGAGCGATTTACATGAGTAATTAGGATTAAGTGCCTTGCTCAAGGGCACGTCGACAGATCTTTCACCTAGTCGGCTCGCTGGATTAGAACCAGCGACCTTTCGGTTACTAGCACAACGCTCTTAACCACTAAGCTACCTGCCGCCCCAAACAAGGCTGTAAAGGTAGACCATGAGCCAAACAAAGGATAGGCCATACTGTTTGACTAATTCAAATATACTGAAATAGCCTGTAGGCTAATACATTATTCTACATCAGGAGAAAATAGAACTGAATTAACACATGATTGTGTCACATTTGGTAACATTTCTTTATTATTTTTTACATGAGTCCCAAGCTTGATTTCATTCTGAAAGATGGTTGATATCACAAAGAAAGATGCTTGTCAAACCACACCTTGTTTCCTTAATATTTTCTTAATTTTATTACTTAGATAGGATACACAGCCAGGTTAAATACACACATTGATTGTTTTCTATTTAAGTCTCACAACACAAAAGCAAACATGAGATATTCAAATACATTGAGAACTTCTTTAGCACCAGTACAAATTAATGAATCCATCCAGTGGTTATTCTCTGACTTACAGTATAGATCTTTCCAATATGATTTTCAAAATAATATACACTAGTCCCAGGTTGGTTTACATGTAATTGGATACAGCAGCAATGACACACAGGTTACTAAAAAGTACACATACTGCCAAATTGGCATACACAAGCATTGTTGAATGGCCTAATACTCCAATACTGTAGGTCAATTGAAGTTATGCAGTGAGTGTTCTCATCCATTGCTCTCCAACTCTGTTTCAAGAATGATATGTAGTAAAAAAAAAATGTACACAGTAAATAGGTTGTGAGGATGCTGGAGATCATTATTTGACCATCTGGTATATTCAACTGTATAAATGACTCATTGTTATGTGTTGGAGCACAAACATGATATATTTGGCAATTTTATCAAAACAATATGTAAAACAATACGCAAAGTCGTTTGAATTTCTGCATTGAGTTTAGTTTATATTATGTTGTGTAAAAAATAAATAAAAAAAGTATAGTACTGTTTAATGTTTTTTAATCACATGCATTGATATGTTTAGAACTTTATCAATAGCTTCAACCCTACGACACATTCAAGTCACTTTTGTAAAGCTATAGAATAAAAACAATATGGGACAGTTTTGATGTGTTTGTCACACATTTCTGGAGACCCCCCTTTTTTAATATCCATTAAAACAAAGTAATAACCGCAGATTTGAGACCAAGTATAAATAACAGTTTATCTAAAATAATTCACACTTCTCAACCGATCATAAACGTGACTTGGTATGTTTTACCAGGGCGCATAGGTGCCTTAATAAGCTCATTTATGGGACAGCTGTATCCTCTTCCAGGTATTGTCAGCCAGTGTATCAGTTATGCATTCCACAATTTGCATATTTTGCCATCTGTATAAACCAAAACCTTGTTTCAACAGAAAAACTAGAATATCCAAAAACGTATTCTGTCAATCACATGATCACATTGTTTTCTTTAGCTACATGATCGATGAAAATGCAAAAATAATCAGTAAAATATTGCGTCTCAAATGGCACCCTATTCCCTATATATTGTACCACTTTTAACCAGGGCCCATAGGGCTATGGTCAAAAGTAGTGGAGTATGGGTGCCATTTGGAACGCATCCACAAAGTTGGGTCCCACAGATTGATTAAGTGAAAAAGTGTTCAGATTTAGAACTTGTTTTGTTTTAGTTTGTCGATGTGATAGCAGAGCTTAAGGGCTGGCCCCAGCTTCAGTCCTAGGTACTTCATGATCATGTCACTCTTTAGAAGTAACAACGCGTTGCCGTCTATCTCCTGTGGAAAAGAAACAGAAGCTCAGGTTATATTAAATCTCCACAAAAAGTAAAGTGGACACATGTATCAGAGCTGTTTACTGAATTGAACTGGGAGTGACCCCAATCCTGGTAAGTATTTCACAAAACATCACATCCAGATATAATCCAACCACTCAAATCAAAACATCACATGAAACGTAACAACTGAAAAAGAAAAGGGGTTTCCCCCAACTGTTACAGATCCAGGCCTCAATCTCAATTTGTCTTTCAGCGATTCCTCACGTCCTTGTCTCCGCCTCAACTGGATTGGAAGAGAAGGTCCAAGGTTCCTCCCCAAGGACCTTCTCCTCCAAGGCGTTTTGAGAAGGTTAGGAGAGAGGATACGAGGTATCAAGGAAATATGAATGAATTATGAGTGATCCAAGGGGTAGCCTACATGCTTCCTGAAGACGTCCACGTGAGGGCCCAGGGACTGCAGGTCAGCGTCTCTGATGAACCAGACCACATCCTCTACACTCCAGGTGGAAGGGTCCTTACTGGGGGACGCCTTGGACTCCTGGGAGTCCTGAGATGGATTGTACACTGCATGAGAAAAGAGAAAGAGGTCAAGAAGGATTTCTATGCTGGTCTATTTTACCTGGTTAGGGCATTGTGATTATAGCAAGAAACACATTTTCTCAAAATCCCTAGGTTTTCCAGAAATCCCGGTTGGAAGATTCCCGAAATCGGGAGGGAATATTCAGGAAAACCTGGACATGTTGGGAAAGTTACCGGAATTTTGCAAGCCTAGTCTCCACTCTCCAATCTCTTACCTATCCTGTTGCCTTCCAGGAAGGTGTTAGGGCTGGACGTCTGTCTACACATACCCAAGGGGGAGGAGCCGTTGGGGAACTGCTGCGAGGAGCGGAACCCATAGGATGGTTTGGATGAGTAGGAGGAGCTTATGGCACTGAAGGCGGAGTCACCTGGGTCCATTGAGTACCGTTTGTCTGACGGGTCCAGAAGATACTCCTCTGGCATGGAAGTTTCAGCTGTGAAATGAATGGAAAGAGATTACATAAGTAAAACATATTGGCAATACTTTTAATAACTTTGGATAGAAGCTGAAGCCTTTAAAGATGTCTATGAAATGTCCTTCTGTGCTTTTATGGTCCAATCGGAAGAAATTGAGCGTAGGGTAATTCCGAGGGAATTATTTCCCCCGGTGCTCTTGTTTAGGTACAGGAGAATGTTCTAGGTAGTGTTCTGGCATGGAGGTCTCATCTGTTTAGGTTGGAATACAGGGATTTGGATAATGGATTAGGATTACCAGGGATTACACTAGTAAAACACCAAATGATGTGTATTTGACAAAATGTCATTCTGTGCTTTCATGTGCAATCTGACGCAATATAGCACAATATTTGAGGCCATTTCTTCAAAAGCTCTTGTTAAGGTACAGGAGTGTTCTAAGAAGTAACATTCAATGCATCATATCTGCACCTCTGCCTACATAATTTCCCTTGTAGGATAAAGAAAGTATTTAGAATTAAATTGAATTGAATACAGGACAGTGCATTACCCTCTGATTGGTAGGAGGCATTATTATGCTGGGGGATTGGTTGGTCGCTGAAGAGGTTTTCACAGTGCAAGCTGCGACAGAGCTTCTTGAGGAAGCGTAGCACGTAGCCAATGCTGTTGACCACAGGCAGACTCAGAAGGTGCTGCTTCCCATCGAAGGTGGCTGGAACACAAAGGAACACTTGATTAAACTTGGGTTGCGTTCCAATTGGGACCCTATTCCAGAGCCCTACGGGCCCTGGTCAAAAGTAGTGCTCTACGAATAGGGTGCCATTTGGGATGCACGCCTGGAATATATTTTAATTTCCTATTGCAGTAAAGCTTGTTGCAGTTAACTTTGCCCCAGGGGACACATCTCTACAGCCATGTCTCAAAGCAACAGTTAACCTAGGATGGCCAATGCATTTCATCCACTGACATTCAAAGACGGAAATGGCCAATAACCCCGGGTAACAGATCCGGATGTTCTCGGAGAAAGGAAGGATACTTCATGGTTACTAGATTATCTAATCAGTGTATGTCAATTTCTATCATTTCCCTCTGGGCAGCAATCAAAATAATAAATATACAACCAAAATCTCAGTGACACTATGTACAATTGGTGGGTCTGTGGTATTTTCCTAGGGGCCTGTGTTTTGGTTAATCGCATCACATTTTAACCTTTATTTGAAGCTTTTTCATCAAACTGTCCCCTTTAATTTTTTATGTAAGATGGTCCAGCACCATTCTCAGACAAATGCTTTCATTTTTGGTCTAATTCTCATTTCTGGAAAAGGCTTAAAATAAAAGGTTAAAATCCAGGTCATGTGACATGATTAACCAAAGCACAGGGCCCTGGTTGTACCTGATATTTTCTCCCCTCCGTATCCCTGTGTGAGGAGAGTGAACACAGCTTTCTGCTGGAAGGCGCTGTCGATGCACCCCTGGACGGCCTGCTGCAGCACCACGGAGGGCCTGTCAGGCCCAAAATGATCTGGGAGCTGCTGCAGCTTCTTCCTGTCCAGGTTGGGGCCCATGTTGACGTGCTTGTTGATGTAGATACACACTGCAGGATACACAACAGCAGGGACAGAGGAGGCAAAGATGTTTAGGTCGGCTATTTTGGTGACGTTGCTTTCCTTCACAATTACATTTAACGAGTACAGTATGCTTATAACTAACAGAATACAAAATTACATTTGAAATGTGATTACCAACGTGACTTTTCATAACACCCAATATGTTTCACCGGACAAAGCAGTATGGGGGGAGACATTGGAAAAGTAAACTCTGTGAGCAACCGGGGCCTTGTTTATCAAATGTGCATGAGCACAAAAAAGACTAAACCTTTTCCCACAAAGGTTGGTATTTATCACATTTGAATTCGACGGGAAAGTGTTCGTATCTCCACGCGTAGTGGTTGTAGAATTGTATTACAAGTAAATATTGTTATTTTTGGGAAATTGAGGTGTTTGACACAAGGGAATTATAATAATGGTAGGCTAATAAAAACATAAAAAAATTGCCTAATGATAAAACAGATGCATTTTTGTTGTTGGTAAGAAGATCACATAGCAGCCTATGTTTCTTTGACTTTATTATAAGGGCCTGTGGGCTACAGTATTGCTGTGTGATAGGAGCATGACATCATTGTCTATTTCATCTCAGAGCCTATACCAAGACAGGACATAAAAACACAATCATCGATCGATAAACAAAATATTGAACAACGATTCGTCTTTTTGCACAGAAGTGTGGGCTGTAGCGTTTATTTGTTTATTGTTTGAATAGACAGTCAATCATCCAGAATGTGCGGCCAGTGTTTCGCACTCGCTACAGACGGCATGCATTCTTAGTTTGAAAAAAGTAACTGCAAAATATTAAAACATTCTGCGCACACCTCTATACAAATGTGATCTAATTTGCTATTGTGCTTTCTTGTAGAAACTGACATGGCCCAGTTCCAACATTTCCAAATCATACAGCAAATGAGGGTGTTTTTGTTACCATAAAAGGTGAATGGAGGGCGTTTTCCAGGCAGGGTTGTAGTACAAATATAGTACGGCTCTGATTTATCAATGAAAACATGTGTACAACAGTTTGATAAATCCCAGTAATTTGTTGTGCGTGCAAATCCTAGAATCTCCACGTACGCCAGAATTTGGTACGACATTTATGCACGGTTAATAAATGAGGCCCCAGGGGCGCGTGGTAGTGTGGGGGCGGGGCTTACCTGTGAGCACCTGGGCATGACAGAGTGGGTATAGTTAACTGTGAGCACCTGGGACCTTGCGGAGTAGGGTATAGTTAACTGTGAGCACCTGGGACCTTGCGGAGTAGGGTATAGTTAACTGTGAGCACCTGGGACCTTGCGGAGTAGGGTATAGTTACCTGTGAGCACCTGGGACCTTGCGGAGTAGGGTATAGTTACCTGTGAGCACCTGGGGCGTGGCAGAGTGGGTATAGTTAACTGTGAGCACCTGGGACCTTGCGGAGTAGGGTATAGTTACCTGTGAGCACCTGGGACCTTGCGGAGTAGGGTATAGTTACCTGTGAGCACCTGGGACCTTGCGGAGTAGGGTATAGTTACCTGTGAGCACCTGGGACCTTGCGGAGTAGGGTATAGTTTACCTGTGAGCACCTGGGACCTTGCGGAGTAGGGTATAGTTACCTGTGAGCACCTGGGACCTTGCGGAGTAGGGTATAGTTACCTGTGAGCACCTGGGACCTTGCGGAGTAGGGTATAGTTACCTGTGAGCATCTGGGGCGTGGCAGAGTGGGGGATGGTAGCAGCGTCCTGGGGGATGGAGCTCATGTCTGGTTCTGGGGTGCTGCTGGGAGGAGAGATGGCCAGGGGATTCATCACCATCCTGGGCTTCAGCTGCAGGGAGACAGGGGGTTGGATCTCAGTATCTATTGGGTTATTTGCACACAGCTTAAACTGATCACTTGTTAGTTGTAAATAATACATGCCATTTAGCATTCGCGTTTGTCCAAAGCGACTGACAGTCACATGTGCATACATTTTTACATATGCGTGGCCCCGGGAATCGAACCCACAACCCTAGTGTTGCAAGCACCATGCCATGCAGTCTGAGGTAGAAACAATAGACTAAAGGATGATGGTTCTCAATTGGCATTAGCAAACACTCAACAGCAATCTACACATTGATTTGCAACTTGTAAATAAAATCACATCTTCGTATTGCAATATTTACCAAGCATTTCATTTTGCTAGGCATATACAGAGGCCAATCAGAATATTAATTAAAACAGTGTTCAATTAAACAAACAAAGGCTACCTCATGTTAAGCCTTAAAACATTTTTATTTCTCCCACTAAATCTAAATGAAATGAGGTCTGTCAAGCTACATCATCATATGCATTTTTTAAACATCCTGCTGACCCCTCCTCTTTCCCTCTCCTCCCATTCCTCCTCTTTCCCTCTCCTCCCATTCTTCCTCTTTCTCTCTGCTCTCCTCCCATCGCCTCCGCTTTCTCTCTCCTCTCCTCCCATCCCCTCCTCTGTCTCTCTCCTCTCCTCCCATCCCCTCCTCTTTCTCTCTCCTCTCCTCCCATCCCCTCCTCTGTCTCTCTCCTCTCCTCCCATCCCCTCCTCTTTCTCTCTCCTCCTCCTCCCATCGCCTCCTCTTTCTCTCTCCCTCTCCTCCCATCCCTTCCTCTGCTCTTTCTCTCCTCCCTCCCTCCTCTTTCTCTCTCCTCTCCTCCCATCCCCCCTCCTCTGTCCTCTCCGCCCTCCCATTCCCCTCTTCTCTCCTCCCAATCCCCCTCCTCTTTCTTCTCTCTCCTCCCATCCCCCCTCTTCTCTCTCCTCCCATCCCTCCTCTTTCACTCTCTCCTCTCCTCCCATTCCTCCTCTTTCTCTCTCTCTCTCTCCTCCAACCCCTCCTCTTTCTCTCTCCTCTCCTCCCATCGCCCCTCCTCTTTCTCTCTCCGTCCGCCCCCACCCCCCCTTCTTTCTCTCCTCTCCTCCCATCCTCCTCCTTTTCTCGTCTCCTCTCCTCCCATCCTCGTTCTTCTCCTCCTCTCCTCCACCTCTTCTCTCTCCTCTCCGCATCCTATTTCTCTCCTTCCCTCCTCCCATCCTCTCCTCTTTTCTTCTCCCCCATCCTGCCTCTTTCTCTCTCCTCGCCTCCTATCCTCTCCTCTCATCCCCTCCTCTTTCTCTCTCCTCTCCGCTCTCCCCTCATCTTTCCTCTCCTCTCCTCCCCTCCCCTTTCCTCTCCTCCCCTCCTCCCTCCTCCTCTCCCCATTCCTCCTTTCTCTCTCCCTCTCCCCCATTCCTCATCTTCTCCTCTCCTCCCCCATCCCCTCCTCTTCTCTCCTCCATCCATCCCCCGCCCTTTCTCTCTCCCTCCCATCTCCCTCTTCTTTCTCTCTCCTCTCCTCCCTCCCCTCCTCTTTCTCTCTCCTCTCTCCTCCCAACCCTCCTCTTTCTCTCTCCTCTCGCTCCTCTCCTCCCAGCCTCTTTCTCCTCATCCTCTCCCCCCCATCCTCTCCTCTTTCTCCTCCTCCTCCCATCTCCCCTCCTCTTCTTTCTCTCTCCTCCCATCCCTCCTCTTTCCCTCTCCTCTCCTCCCATTCATCCTCTCTCGCTCCTCCCTTCATCCTCGCTCTCTCTCTCCTCCCACCCCCTCCTCTTTTCTCTCCCTCCCATCCAATCCTCTTTCTTGTCTTTCTCCTCTCTCCTCCCATCCCCTCCCCATCTTTCCTACTCTCTCCTCCCATCTCCCCGATCCTCTTTTCTCTCTCCTCTCCTCCCACCCTCATCCCTTTCTCCTCTCTCCGCCCATTCCCTCCTCTTTCTCTCTCCTTTTCTTTATCTCCTCCTCCCATCCCCTCCTCTTTCTCTCTCCTCTCCTCCCATCCCCTCCTCTTTCTCTCTCCTCCCATCCCCTCCTCTTTCTCTCTCCTCTCATCCCCTCCTCTTTCTCCTCCTCTCCAACCCTCATCTTTTCCTCCGCCATCCCTCCCTTTTTCTATCTTTCTCTCCTTCTCTCCTCCATCCCCTCTATTTCTCTCTGTTCTCTCTCGCTCTCTCCTCTCATCCTTTCTCACCTTTTTTCCTCTCTTTCTTCTTTCCCCCATTCCGTCCCTTTCTCTCCCTCCCCACCCCCTCCCCTCTAGTCTCTCTCCCTCTCTCCCTCCTCCCCTCCACTCCGCTTTCCTCTCCTCCCGATCCCCTCCTCTTTCTCGCTCCTCCCATCTCTCCTCTTTCTTTCGTCTTTTCTTCTCCTCCTTTCTCCTCTTTCTCTCTCCTCCCAGCCCCTCCTCCTTGCTCTCTCCGCCCCATCCCTCCTATTTCGCTTCTCCTCTCCTTCCATCCCCTCCTCTTTCTCGCTCCTCTCCCCCTCCCATCCCTGTTCTCTCTCTCTCTCTCCCCCCCCATCATCCTCTCCCTCTCCCCTCGCCACCTCTCCTCTTTCTCTCCTCCCCACCCCCCCCGCCTCTTTCTCTCTCCGCTCCTCCTATCCTCTCCTCTAATTCCTCCCCTCCTTTTCCGCTCCTCCCTCTCATCCCCTCATCGTTTTTTTCGCTCCTCTCCTCTCATCCCCTCATCTTTCTCTCTCCTCTCCTCCCCCGCCCCTTTTTCTCGCTCCCTCCTCCCATCCTCTTCGCTTTCTCTCTCCTCGCCTCCCATTCCTCATCTTTCCTTTCTCTCCCCGCGCATCCCCCGCCTCTTTCTCTCTTTCTCTCGCCTCCCATTCCCCTCCTCTGCTCTCATCCTCCCATCCTCCCCTCTTCTTTTCTCTCCTCCTCTCCCTCCCATCCCTCCTCTCTCCTCCCAACCCTCCTCTTTCTCTTCCCTCTCCTCCTCCCTCTTCTCTCCTCTCTCCCATCCTCTCCCTCTGTTCTCTCCACCCCATCCGCCCGCCACCTCCTCTTTCTCTCTCCTTCCTCACATCCCCTCTTCTTTCCTCTCCTCTCCTCCCATTCATCCTCTCCTCTTCCTCTCCTCCACCCCTCCTCTTCTATCTCTCTCTCCCATCCCCTCCTCTTTCTCTCGCCTTCCCATCCCCCTCCTCTTATCTCTCTCCGCCCTCCCACCACTCTCCCCTTCCGCTCTCCCTCCATCCCCTCCCTCCTTTATCTCTCCTCGCCTCCCATTCCCCCCCTTTCGCTCTACTTTTCTCTCTACTCCCATCCCCTCCTCTTTCTCTCTCCTTCCCATCCCCTCCTCTGTTCTGCTCATCCTCACCAAACCCTCATCTTTCTCCCTCATCCCCTCCTCTTTCGTATCTTCTCTCTCGCCTCTCATCCCCTCTCTTTCCTCTCTCGCTCATCCGTTCTTTCTCCAACCTTTTCCCCTCGTTTTCTCTTTCCCTCCCATTCCTCTCTTTCGCTCTCCTCCCCCCCCTCCTCTTCTCTCTCCTCGCCTCCCATCCCCACCTCTTGCTCTCCTCCTCCCATCCACGCCTCTTTCTCGCTCCTCCCATCCTCTCCTCTTTCTTTCCCCTCCTTCCTCCTCTTTCTCTCTCCTCCCATCCCCTCCTAATCCTCCTTCTCTCCTCCTCCACCCATCCCCTCCTATTTCTCTTCCGCTTCTCTCTCCTCTCCCCTCCCCTCACCCTCCCCTCTTTCTCTCTCCTCGCCCTCTCCTCCCACCTCTCCTCTTTCTCTCCTCCTCCCAGCCTCCTCTTTCTCTCGCCGCCAGCCCCCTCTTTTCTTCTCTCTCCTGCCATCCCCTCCTCTTTCTTGCTCCTCTCGCCTTCCCATCCCCTCCTCCTTCTCTCTTCTCCCATCCCCTCCTCTTTTCGCTCTCCTCGCCTCCCATCCCCTCCTCTTTCATCTTCTCTCCTCGCATCCCCTCTCTTTCTCTCGCCTCTCATCCTCCTCATCCACCCCCCATCCTCCCTGCTCTCCCCCCATCACCTCTTTCTCCTCTCCTCCGCAGTCCTCAATACCTTCTCTCGCCTCCCACCCCTCCTCGTGCTCTCGCCTCCCTCCCCTCCTCCTCTCTCTCCTCCTATCCCCTCCCGCTGGCTCTCTCCTCGCCTCGCCTCCCATCCCCGCCGTGGGGGGCTGCTCTCCCCACCCCGCCTCGGTCGAGCCGCCTGCTCCTCCCCTCCCCTCTGTCGCGCGCCCCAGCCCCCGCCTCTTGCTCTCTCCGCCCATCCTCTCCTCCCCCCAGCCCCATCCGCCGCTCTCGCCTCCCGTCCCCTCCGCTTTCGCGCTCCGCTCCGCCCTACCTCCCTTTCTCGCCGCCCATCCCCTCCGCTTCTCTCTCCGCCCATCCCACCCTTTTCTTCCCCTCCCTTTCTCGCTCCTCCCATCCTCTTCCTCTTTCTTCTTTCTCCTCCATTCCGCCTATTTCTTCGCTCTCCTTCCTCCCATCCCTCCCTCTCTCCTTTCTTTCTATTTCTCCCTCTCCCGCCTCCCCATCCCCGCCCCTCCTCCTCGCGCTCCTAATATGCCCCCCCTCCTATTACTCTCGTCCTGCTCCTCCCACCCAACCCTCGTTCGCTCTCCGGCCCATTCTTCCTTTCCCTCTTTCTCTCTCCTCCCAGCCCCTCCTCTTTATCTCTCCTCCTCCCCTCTCCTCTCCTCCCTCCCCTCCCCTCCTCTTCTCCTCTCCTCTCCCCATCCCCCCCTCCCTCTCTCTCCTCACATCCCCTCCTCTTTCTCTCCCTCTCCCTCCTCCCATCCCCCTCCTCTTTTCTCCTGCTCTCTCCCATCCCCTCCTCTTTCTAATCTTCCTCACCTCCTCTCATCCCCCTCTCTTTATCCCCTCCTCTCTCCTCTCATCCTCTCCTCCACCCAGCCCTCCTCTTCTCATCCTCCTCCCATTCATCCTCTTTCTCTCTCCTCCCCAGTCCTCATCCTCATCCTTCTCCCCTCCCATCCCCTTCCTCTTTCTCTCCGCTTCCCGCCCCTCCTCCGTCTCTCCCGCCTATCCCCTCCTCTTTCTCTCTCCTCTCCTCCCCTCTCTTTCTCGCGCCTCTCCATCCTCCTCTCCTCCTTTTCCCTCCGTCTTTCACTCCTCTCTCCCTCCCCTTCCGCTTTCTCCTCTCCTCGCCGCTCGCATCCCCTCCTCTTTCTCGCTCTCTCCTCCCCTCCTCTCCTCTTTCTTTCTCCTCCCATTCCTCCTCTTTCTCTCTCCCTTGTCTCTCTCCTCCCATCCCTCCTCCTCTCTGCTCTCTCCGTCTCATCCCCTCCTCCTCTCCTCCCGCTCCTCCCCCCCATCCCCTCCTCTTTCTTTCTCCTCCCATTCCGCCCTCCTCGTCTTTCTCTTCCTCCCCCCTCTCCCTTTCGTCTCCTTTCCTTTCTTTCGCCTCCCAAGTCCTCCCTCCTTCTCTCCCTCCTCCCTCCCCTCCCCATCCCCTCCTATTTCTCTCTCCTCTCCTCCCATCCCCCTCCTCCATCCCCTCCTCTTTCTCTCTCCGCTCCTCCCCACCCCTCTCCTCTTTCTCTCTCCTTCCTCCCATTCCTCTCCTTTCTCTCTCCGTCCTCCTCCCCGCCCCTTCTCTTTCCTCTCCTCACATCCCCTCCGCTGTGCTATCGATCGTCTCGCCGCTCTCCGCGCACCCCTCGCGTTCGCTCCTACGCTCTCCGCTCACCTCTCACTCCACAACAGTCGTCGCCCGTTCTCTCTCCTCCCAGTCATCCTCTTGTCGCTCTCCTCCCATTCCTCATCCTCTCTCTCCTCCATCCCCCCTCTTTCGCTTCGCCCTCTCTCCCCATCCCCTCCTCCTTCGCTCTCCCCCCCCCCTCCTCCGCATCCCCTCCGATTCCCTCTCCTCTCCTCCCATCCCCCCTCCGCCTCTTTCTCTCAATCTCCGCTCCTCCCATCCTCTTGCTCTCTCCTCTCCTCCCATCCTCATCCTCTTTCCTCCTCTCCTCCCCAGCCCCGCCTCTTTCTCGCGCCTCCCTCTAAAGTCACTCCTCTTCTTCTCGCCTCTCCTCCTCATCCCCATCATCTTTCTTCCTCTCTCATTCTCCTCTCATTCCCCGCTCTTTCTCGCCCGCTCCTCCCCTCCCCTTTCTCGCGCCCGCTCTCTCCCCCTCCTCTCCCTCCTCCCATTCCTCTCACGCTTTCTCTCCTCCTCTCCTCCCATTCCTCATCGTTCTCTCGTTCTCTCTTTCTCTCTCCCCCACATCCCCTCCTCTTTCTCTCTCCTCCTCCCCTCTCGTATCTTTTCTCTCTCCTCTCCTCCCATCCCCAACCTCCTCTCTCCTCCCACCCTCGCTTTTTCTCTCTCCTCTCTCCCAGCCCTTTCTCCCTCTCCGCCCATCCCTCTCCTCTTTCTCTCTCCTCCCCATCCCCTCCTCGTTCTCTCTCCTCCCATCTCCCCTCCTCTGGCCCCTCCTCCTCCTCCCTCCCATTCCAGTCCTCTCGTGCTCGCCTCTCCCTCCCACCCCCTCCTCGGTCCGCTCCTTCTTCGCCCACCCCCCCGCTTTTCTTTCTCTCTCCTCCCATCCCCTTCCTCTTTCTCCTCTCCTCTCTCGCCTCCCATCCCCTCCTCTTTCTCTCTTCTCTACTCCTCTCCTCCCCCCCCTTCTCCCTCCCTTTCTCTCTCTCCGCCCATTCCTTCTATTTCTCTCCTCCCCTCTCCTCCCATCCCCGCCTCGTGATCTTCTCCTCGCCTCCCATCCCCTCCTCTCGCTCTCCGCCCATCCCCTCCGCTTTCCTCATCTCCTTCCTCCCAACCCCCTCATCTTCTCATCCGCTCCTCTCCTCCATCCCCTCCTCTTTGTCTCTTCTGTCTCTCCTCCCTATCCCCTCCTATTTTTCTCTCTCTCCTCCTCCTCCCATTCCCCCGCCTTTTTCTCTCTCCTCCCATCCCCTTCTCTTCTATCACGTCCTCTCTCCCATCCCCTCCTCTTCCGCTCCTCCATCCCCTCCTCCTTCGCTCGTCTCCTCCCGTCCCCTCCTCTTTCTATCATCCTTCCTCCCATCCCCTCCTCTTTCTTTCTCTCTCCTCCCGTCCCCTCCTCTTTCTCTCTCCTCCCATCCTCCTCCTCCTTTCTCTCACCTCCCATCCGCTCCTCCTTTTCTCTCCGCCCTCCCCTCCTCCTTCTCTCTCCCCCATCCTCTCTTTCCTCACTCTCTCCATCCCCTCCTCTTGCTTCCTCTCCCTCCCATCCCCCCCCATCCTCTTTCTATCCGTCCTCCCCCCCATCCCCCCCCTTCGCCTCTCGTCGCTCTCCTCCCTTCCCCTCCTCCTTTCTCCTCTCCTCTCTCTCCTCCCCGCCCCATCCCCTCCTCTTTCTCTCTCCGCCTATCCCCTCCTCTTTCTCTCTCCTCTCCTCCCATCCCCCCCCGCCTCTGGCGCTCCCTCCTCCCATCCCCTCCTCTTCTCCTCATCCTCCAGCCCCCCTCTTCTCTCTCTCGCTTTTCTCCTCTCTCCTCGCAGCCATCTCCCTCCCTTTCTCTCTCCTCTCCCCATCCCCTCCTCTGTTGCTCTCTCCTCTCCTCCCATCCCCTCCTCTTTCTCTCTCCTCTCCTCCCATCCTCTCCTCTTTCTCTCTCCTCTCCTCCCATCCCCTCCTATTCTCTCTCCTCCCATCCCTGAAACTGACCTTGAAGCCAGGTTTTCTCCCCCTCTTCTTGGGCACTTTGAGGGGAGGGAGGGATTCAGGGTAGTGGGTTGGAAAATCCATCTTGCGATGTAGTGGGGGTCTCCCCCTCTTCCTGCCGGGAATCTTTCCTGGCTGGCTGGGGAGGAAGGAGGGAGACACTGCAGGCGACTGCATTTCACTGTTGCTGTCTGCTTTCTGTGCTGCTGCTGCTGGTACACTCATTGGAGCTGGAGGGAGACATACAGGAAGGAGGGAAACACAAAGGGAGAAATCATTATATTAATTGAAGACTGCATGGCACATAATAAAAAACAGTGGCTGTTCCACCATATAGTCCTTCCTATCCTCAATGTGCATGAGCCAACATTCTGCCTGCTTGTCTCCCAGACCTTCCATTACCTGATCTCCTCTGATCTAGAACCCTTGAGAACCAAGCGCTTCCCTTCTTAGATCCCGGTTAGATTCCAGAATAGCAGAAGATGGTTCTAAACACTGCACACTGCCTCAGCAGGCTATGAAAGCCATCTTGCCTTTAGCTGCTGTACTGTATGTTTTCTTTCTGCCCCTCTCGTCTCTGCTGCTGTACGCCACACAGGCTGGCTGGCTGGCTGGCTGCAGACTCCTCATTACACTAATGTATTCAGCAGTGGCAGAGGAAGGGAGGGGGAATTGACTTCACCATGGCTACACAGCTATGAATTACCATGACGGATGACAGCGCTCACCATAATCTTAAAAAAGCAGCAGCCTCAAGTGCCAGCCTACTGATGAAAACAAAAACAACATGCATGTCTCATATATATAGCACAGAAGACTATATACACAGGCAATGCTGAATTATTACAGAATATAGCATTAGCATGCAGCATGCTTCATCCTTCCTTTGTGCAGACAAAGACAATAGAAAATAAAGGGAAATAAAACACAGCCAGTGTGCACACACCATCAGAATGAATGAGGATTGGAGAGTATATCCCTTTTCAGTTGTTCTCCTATTGAACCACCCTCTGTCCTCTCTGTGTCTTTGCCTGCTTCTAAATGTCTTGAACCACACCGCAGAGCGGAATCTCCAAGCAAGGCGGATTCCACTGTAATGGTGTGTGTTTGTGTGTCTGCCAGCGCTGGGAAACGTTCTCATGTTGTCATGGCAACAAGCCTGTAACACCCTGCCGGCTGTATCTCCCATGTTATGCTGCTTGATACTCAGGCCCAAAACTGGGAGGATGTATAATTAGTATAGAAGACATCCTCAAACCAACCGCTAAGTACAATAGGAAATTAATTTGAAAGTGTTGAGAGCGTACATACAGTGGGGAAAAAATGTATTTAGTCAGCCACCAATTGTGAAAGTTCTCCCACTTAAAAAGATGAGAGAGGCCTGTAATTTTCATCATAGGTACACGTCAACTATGACAGACAAATTGAGATTTTTTTTCTCCAGAAAATCACATTGTAGGATTTTTTATGAATTTATTTGCAAATGATGGTGGAAAATAAGTATTTGGTCACCTACAAACAAGCAAGATTTCTGGCTCTCACAGACCTGTAACTTCTTCTTTAAGAGGCTCCTCTGTCCTCCACTCGTTACCTGTATTAATGGCACCTGTTTGAACTTGTTATCAGTATAAAAGACACCTGTCCACAACCTCAAACAGTCACACTCCAAACTCCACTATGGCCAAGACCAAAGAGCTGTCAAAGGACACCAGAAACAAAATTGTAGACCTGCACCAGGCTGGGAAGACTGAATCTGCAATAGGTAAGCAGCTTGGTTTGAAGAAATCAACTGTGGGAGCAATTATTAGGAAATGGAAGACATACAAGACCACTGATAATCTCCCTCAATCTGGGGCTCCACGCAAGATCTCACCCCGTGGCGTCAAAATGATCACAAGAACGGTGAACAAAAATCCCAGAACCACACGGGGGGACCTAGTGAATGACCTGCAGAGAGCTGGGACCAAAGTAACAAAGCCTACCATCAGTAACACACTACGCCGCCAGGGACTCAAATTTCCTCATTTTGTCTGTCATAGTTGACGTGTACCTATGATGAAAATTACAGGCCTCTCTCATCTTTTTAAGTGGGAGAACTTGCACAATTGGTGGCTGACTAAATACTTTTTTCCCCCACTGTAGATGTAGTGCGTGTGCGTGTGCGTGTGTGTGTGTGTGCGTGCGTGCGTGCGTGTGTGTAGTGCGTGTGAGTGTGTGTGTGCCCTGCGATTAGTGCTTTTTGAGGACGGTTCAGTTTGTTCGATTTTTTTATTTTTATCACGGTTTTCGATTTCAGTTTAAATTATCTTATTTTAAACATTAAATGCACTATGCATTATGTGGGTTGAATGCTGTAACAGCACAGAATAAAACAATTAATAAAAGTCCCATGATAGTAGTGACTGCCCATTACTGCTGATCACTTATTAACAATCATTTATTCACATTACTTTAATAAAATATTTCAGCTGTTGTGTACACTGAGTGTACAAAACATTAGGAACTCCTGCTCTTTCCATGACATAGACTGACCAGGTGAAAGCTATGATCCCTTATTGATGTCCCCTGTTAAATCCACTTCAATCAGTGTAGATGAAGGGGAGGAGACAGGTTAAAGAAGGATGTTTAAGCCTTGAGACAATTGAGACATGGATTGTGTATGTGTGCCATTCAGAGGGTGAATGGGCAAGACAAAATATTTAAGTGCCTTTGAACGGGGTATGGTAGTAGGTGCCAGGCACACCGGTTTGTGTCAAGAACTGCAATGCTGCTGGGTTTTTAACGCTCAACAGTTTCCGGTATCAAGAATGGTCCACCACCCAAAGGACATCCAGCCAACTGTGGGAAGCATTGGAGTCAACATGAGCCAGCATCCCTGTGGAACGCTTTCGACACCTTGTAGAGTCCATGCCCCGACGAATTGAGGCTGTTCTGAGGGCAAAAGGGGGGTGTCCTTAATGTTTGGTATACTCAGTGTATATTACATTTGTTTTATTTGATGACTTTATTATTTCATTCCAAGTCATCATCTCATCTCTATAGAGCTGCTGTCTGACAAAATCACTATTTTAGTAGTTCTTCAAAGTAAATAAGACATACTTTTATGACTGCTGACTAATGATCAATCACTTTTCAGTTAGAGATACATGTACCTCGCGAAGCAACTGCTCTATATCCCTCTTGATCACGCATTATTCTGTCTGTTCTCTCTCTCTCTCCATGTATTCCCCACGCTAACCTAACATAGCAGGCATAAAATAAACCCACAGACCGGACAAGTAGGCGTGCAATGGATTATGGTCATTGTAGTTAATTACCACTTTTTCTGTGCTAAACAATGTCGAATATTGGCCATCGCACAGTTCGGGCCTATTTATTCAGCAACACTGAACCATGCATGAGAGCACCAGCTTTTCCGGACGACTGTGTAATCATGCTTTCTGTAGCCGATGTGAGTAAGACCTTTAAACAGGTTAACATTCACAAGACACATTACCAGGATGTGTACTCAGAGCATGCACTGACCAGCTGGCGAGTGTCTTCACTGACATTTTAAACCTCTCCCTGACCCAGTCTGTAATACCTACATGTTTCAAGCAGACCACTATAGTCCCTGTGCCCAAGAAAGCCAAGGTAACCTGTCTAAATGACTATCGCCACATAGCACTCACATCTGTAACCATGAAATACTTTGAAAGGCTGGTCATGGTGGCTCACATCAACATCATCATCCCAGACACCCTGGACCCACTCCTATTCGTACTCCACACTGCCCTTTCCCACCTGGACAAGAGGAACACATACACTACCATTCAAAAGTTTGGGGTCACTTAGAAATGTCCTTGTTTTCTTTATGAAAAGCAATTTTTTTGTCCATTAATATAACATCAAATTGATCAGAAATACAGTGTAGACATTGTTAATGTTGTAAATGGCTATTGTAGCTGGAAACGGCTGATTTTTAATGGAATATCTACATAGGCATACAGAGGCCCATTATCAGCAACCATCAGTCCTGTGTTCCAATGGCACGTTGTGTTTGCTAATCCAAGTTGATCATTTTAAAAGGTTAATTGATCATTAGAAAACCTTTTTGCAATTATGTTAGCACAGCCGAAAACTGTTGTGCTGATTAAATAAGCAATAAAACTGGCCTTGAGACTAGTTGAGTATCTGGAGCATCAGCATGTAACACCCTGGCTCTGGGACTCTATATGTTGAGCCAGGGTGTGTTCTTTCTATGTGGTGTATTTCTATGTTGGGAGTTCTAGTTTGGTTATTTCTATGTTGGCTAGAGTGACTCCCAATCAGAGGCAACGAGTGTCAGCTGTGGCTGGTTGTCTCTGATTGGGAGCCATATTTAAACTGTCTGTTTTTCCCTTTGTGTTTGTGGGTTCTTGTTCCGTGTTGGTCTATGTTACCTAGGACGTTACGAGTCGTTTGTTGTTTTTGTTTACTGTCCGTGTTTATCGCTAATGATAAATAATCATGTTCGTTCATCACGCTGCGCCTTGGTCCTCCTCTCTTAACGACGATCGTGACAGAAGAACCCACCATACAAGGACCAAGCAGCGTGTCCAGGAGCAGGCAGACTGGACATGGGAGGAAGCGCCGGGAAAGGAGATGGAGAGGTTGGCGATGGCCCAGGTGGGCAAAGTGTGGTCCTGGGAGGACATGCTCGGGGGAAAAGGACCATGGGCTAGGATTAAGGCCCTGGCGAGAGAGGAGCAGCGGCGTCAGCAGTGTCATCGTCGGACGGACGAGAGGCAACCCCAAAAATTTTTTAGGGGGGGGGCACAGGGCATGGACGACGGGGCTGACAGAGGCAGAAAAGGGGCGTATTCAGAAGGCCACCAGGTTACGGGGGCCACTGGTCAAAGTAGGGAAAGAAGGTTTAGAGGCACGGCGAGAGGTACTGGGGTGTGTTACCAGTCCGGTCCGGCCCGTTCCAGATCCCGGGGTAGAGCCAGTGGTGTGTGTCCCCAGTACGGTCCGGCCTGTTACGGCCCCTCGCACCAAATGTACGGTGCGCGTCGCCAGCCCGGCCCGGCCTGTTCCTGCCTCTCGCACCAAGCCTACGGTGCGCGTCGCCAGCCCGGTCCGGCCTGTCCCTGCTCCTCGCACCAAGCCTACGGTGTGCGTCGCCAGCCCGGTCCGGCCTGTTCCTGCCACTCGCACCAAGCCTACGGTGCGCGTCGCCAGCCCGGCCCGGCCTGTCCCTGCTCCTCGCACCAAGCCTACGGTGTGCGTCGCCAGCCCGGTCCGGCCTGTCCCTGCTCCACGCACCAAGCCTACGGTGTGCGTCGCCAGCCCGGTCCGGCCTGTCCCTGCTCCTCGCACCAAGCCTACGGTGTGCGTCGCCAGCCCGGTCCGGCCTGTCCCTGCTCCTCGCACCAAGCCTACGGTGTGCGTCGCCAGCCCGGTCCGGCCTGTCCCTGCTCCACGCACCAAGCCTACGGTGTGCGTCGCCAGCCCGGTCCGGCCTGTTCCTACTCCACGCACCAAGCCAGGGGTGCGCATCGTCAGCCCGGTCCGGCCCGTTCCTACTCCACGCACCAAGCCAGAGGTGCGAGTCGTCAGC